GTTCCCACGTCGCGGAGGGGAGGAAATCTCGGCGGCCTCTCCCGCGGGTTAGCGTGGGCATCTCCGCTCTCCGGAGCGGTGCTCGTCCCTGGCGCTGTCACGATGCCTTGGTTTGTCCAAGTCTCTCTCAACGTCCTGCCGCCCCTAACCTGAGAGAGGGTATATGTATTCCGTGTTTCTGCTGCTCTTGGAAAACACTTCCTTGGTGTTTGGAACAGGCTGATGGCATTACTCTTTCTTCACCCTCATTCACATAGAAGTGTAAATGCTGCATCCAGCAGCAGCTGCTTTTGTCCCGGCTTTTTCTCCATTCAATCCTAGCAGCCCCTGGAGCCAGAGTTGATGGGGAGAAGCTAAAAGTTAGTTTTCCAGTAGCTAACAATGACATTTCAAGACCTCCCCTACTTGATATTTCTGGTTTCTTTCTCCTTTTGGGAGTAGCAGCATTAAGATGAAAATTTACCATCGAGATCAGCTGTGCCTTTGTGATCTTTTGATCTAGTAAGTGGTTGAGCTGAGCTTACTCCTGTAACTCAAGTGAGAGTTGCTTTAAAGCTGCAGGGTCCTCGGTGTAGTTTTCTTTGGATCTTTACAGGATGTGACTTGGGGGTGGGGTGGGGGGGTGGTGGTGGTGTTGGCAGCTCGAGGCTTGAACCCTAATGACTTTACCTGAAATCTGGCGTCCTGTTGTTCTAGTGAAATATATCCTTAAAAATAAGTGTTAAGAATTCAGTGATTTATTAGAAGCAGTTTTTGAGAGAGGAAGGCAAAAAACAGAGGAGTGGAAGGGGAAGAGGCCCCTGAGGGTGAAACTCGTCCTAATGCTGCAGTGCCACTTGTCCGTATCTGCAGGATTTCTGTCTAGAACCTTCCCTGGCCCTGTGATCCTTACAATTTCCATACAGAATTTAAAGAGTAGCACAAAACTGCAAACTGACAACGTGAACATCTGACAGATAGTCACAGACCTTGAATAATAACACAAAGCTTGTAGTTTTGTGCCTGCGCTCTGCTAACTATCTGTTGTTAAAACTGGCACCCAGTGCTTTTGTAGAATGTGTTTGCATCTCTGGCAGTTGATTCCCAAAATATGTGAATCTTATTTTACGCTCTGTTTCCATATTTTACACATAAGGAAATAAAGCACGAGTCTACCCTTTTGCTAATACAGAGATGCAAATTTAGTTAATGGATCTTTGTGAAACCCGCTGTGGCCTTTCCACAGAAGTCTTTTAAAGTATAGCTGTTTACTGTTGTAAGTCTTTTCAGAAGAACCTTGTGTTCTCCTCAGAAAGATAAAATTTGCATTTTTTAAAAGATGTTTTACACCTGGCTATTCAGACCGGAGTTAGCCTCTGACTCTGTAACTTGCGGAGTGTATGCATATTTGGTTCATGCATATTCGATTCCTATCTGGGAGATTCGATCCCAGCTGTCTGAGGTAGGGCACAGTTCGTTGTGTTTTAAAACTGTGAAATGATTGCATTTTTTTGTATCTGATGTACACATAAACAGTAGCTAGTATGTGCAGTAAAGTGATTATTCAACTAGCACTGTTATAAAGGGACTGTACGTATAGGAACCCTGAACTGATTGACACTTGATAATATTTATAGGAAAAGAGGCCAGTAGAACAGCTGACAGAATAGCTTTACAGATATTTTAGTGTGTTGTTTAAAACGAATACTTGAAAACAACAGGTTTTGTGAAATTTACAATCGTTGTCCTTGTTTGTTTAATAACACTTGGCTGTGGAGCTTTGAAATCTACGAAGTGTGGGCAACACATGCAGACTGAGCTTCTGTTTCTGGTCCATTGCACAACTTCATGCTTACAAGCTAGCTCTGTTGCAAAAATCTAACCATTACTACAAGTGAACATTCAGTTATTAAAATAATTTTCTGTTACATGTTTTTCTAAAAGTAGTCCATCCCATTTTGTCTGAGCTTCTGTAAGTTTTTATGAAATGTGTATCAGCAGAAAATTGGCACTTTTAAAATCTCATGTTTTGAGTTGGCAGCAGCACAAAAAAACTTAATATCAACATATTGCATAAATCGATCTGCTTATAAGATTTATTCCTTTGTTTGTTTCCAGAAGCATCAACAGTGTTATAATACAGATAAAATGAATTACTAGCTGTCCCTTGATATTCGTGTTAGCAGTTTGGGGCCCTTATTACTTGGCATCTCTGTTTCACATCTGCTTTGGGGAACAGAAAAGGGTTCTTAATATCCCATGCTATTAACTTGATAGACACAAGTAGTGTTTTGTTGTTTGGTGGTTTGTTTTTTTTTTAAAACACCAAACAGAAAAACCACCCCCCCTCAAAAAAAAAACAAAAACCAAAACTAAAACAACCAAAACCAAAGCCAAAAATAAAAGCAAGCACGTGTCACACTGTGATAGGAATTATGGGGGCTGAAGAAATGTAAGATGTTACCCAAAATTTCTGCTTCATTCATGTTTTGGGAATTGTCTGCCTTTGAGAAAGGTATCCTTTGCTTTCTCTGCAGTAGTCTGAAAAGGCGTTTTGAAGTAGTAAGAAAGCTTACAAAGGTTTTTGGTTTTAACTCTTGTAAAGTTAAGACAGGAAACACAAGTATTTATATTTTTCTTTTAGAACAGAAGAAATTTTTGACAACTCTATGGTTACGTATATTATTTTGGTTCTTTGTATTTAAACACTGGCAGTAATACAGGGGATGCGGGAGGTATTTAGGAGCCAACTCCTGTAGATAGACAGGAAGTGAGTTCTTGAAATGCCTCAAAAAGGAGAGATTTTTTGCTTCAAGTTTAAAATAAACATGGCTCCTGCCCAATTAAGGCTTTAAAAGCTGAGTTTTAAACACTTTAACATCACCATGCAAAATGCTTGTCCCGTTTCAGAAGACCGCCCTGCTGCAACAGGTAGCTGAGCAAACAAACCTCTGGGATGAGAGGAAGCCTTGAGGCTGCATATGGTCCTCTTATCTGCTCAGTATCTACATCCCACAGGAATGTGGGCATCAAGAGTTCATTCCGTTCTTTTGTAGACCAATATTGTGATAAATTATTGCCATATTCATTAAAGTACAATAATAAATGAGTGAACACAAATGGAACCCCGTAGGATCCCTATATCCAGGCACAGGCCAGCTTGCTTGTTCTTTGCTCTGGCTGGGTTCCGGCTTCTCTTGGCCTTGCCACACTTCTCCTTCCCAGCCGCTGTGCGAAGGCTGTTGGGACATGTTGGGGAACCTGCCGTGATGCCCCTCCAGTGGGGAGACCTCGTCCTGAGGGCCCAGCAAGTGTAAAAGTCCTTCCTGAGTGCGTGGGGCTGCTCTGAGACCGGGCTGGCCGAGCTGGCTCGTGGGCCTCACTGGTGAAAAACAGCCTGACACAGAAAGGCAGTCCAGTGCTCTTGTGCAAGAGGTGTTTTGTGTGGATAATTTAAACTTGTCTTGTGCCCAGTTCTTAAATGCAAGTTTCTCAAAGGCAGGGGTGTAAGGCAGCAGTGCCGGTGTGCAGTGGTGCAGGCAAGGTAGCAGATAGGTGATTGTCAGGGCTGCTTTGATTCTGGTATCTGCTAAAATGCTGTAGAGGTGACAGAATTAATTTCTGAAAGAAAATGCTGGTTTGGAGTTGGCTTTTACCATTTTCTGCCAGCTGTTGCATGTAGCACTGACCTTGGCTGTCAAAGGCACTGCCAACAACTTGCTAAAGGTAGAGATGTGGAAGTAGCCACCAGGGAAGGAAAGGGAGAAGGATGGGAGCGGACCCATCAAAGCCAGAGAGTAAACAACCAGCATATTTATTACTGCAGAACATGAGGCCTGTTGTAGCGTGACAGGCTTAGACAGTATGCCCTAGGTTTTTTCAAACCCTGACAGGACAGACACGCAGAAACCCAGGAGATCTGAGCCTTGGCAGAGTCTATCCTGTCACCCAAGACATGCTTGTGCACCTGGATGTTCTGGCTGTTTGTCCCAGTGTCTCACTGCAGTGGGGCTTTGCTTTGCAAAACACGCATCAGAGTGAGCTTGGTCCGTATCAGCAGGCCATACAGGTGGAAAGAATGAACGCTTTTCAGAGGGGAAAGAAAAAGAAGGTTGTGAAGTGTAAGGTCTGTTAGAAAGCAGATGCAAACTTTCCTTGCTTAATTTGGCCATGGCACCAAAACAAATACTGTATCAGAGCACTGTTTACTTTCAGGTCTGTGGGCAAGTTTGTGTGTTTGTCTAATTAAAAGCCCAAATGTAGCATACATAACATAGGCATGTAAATCATCTGCTTTACCTTTAAGTGTTATATTTCTGAATTTGGTTTGGGCTTTGAGAGTTAATGCTGCACTACTTAATAGTGACAGGCCTTTGGTTAAACATGTCAACAAGTGTAGTGTGAACCCAGAGAGGGATTGGACCTGTCATTTGTGTGGTTGCTGCTGCTCCTTTGGGGCACCGTGAGGTTCAGCAAAGCCAGAGCCCTTCAGGGAGTAGCAGTAGGAGGGATCATCCAACTAAGAGCCAGTGTGAGGAGTCTATAAAATAACAGAACTGACAAGTGGCAGCTAACATAGATATCAAGACTTTTATCTTGTTCCTGATGACCAAATGCAGCTTTTTACCACCCTCTCCCAGAAGTTTTAAATGTGTAAAAAAAATGGCAACAGTTTTTGTCATGTAAATGAGACTGAATTAGTCCATTCAAAAACCCACTCTTGTTTTTTCTGGGGGTTAGCTGAGAAGCCTGTGATTTTCTTCGACAGAGTGCTGCTGACCCCGACTGGTGTATGAGTATTGCAGGAATTATTAACCTGTTTTGTTGTTTTGCCCTACAAGGCCTATTTGTTCAGAGGGCTGGGAATTGTTTAGGGAGTTATTGCTAGTCCTCAGATGGTTGTGCTTTCTGGGGGCGGAGGGAGGGACAACTGCTGCTATCACAGGCTTGTTACACACTGTAAGGAAGGACATGAAGCAGCAAGTTTTTAAAGTAGTATTAATCTCTTCTGTGGTTTCAGAACGCCTCTGGGAGCCTCCCTGGATGAGCAAAGCAATCCTCTGTTGAAGGGTAAGGAGAAGCTTTACCTTCTGAAATCTTTTTTGCTGGGAAGTGTGCTTTTGTGGATGTTCACTGAGACCTTGGCTCTAGCAGGGGCAGAAACCACAGCCTAGTCGGCACTGCTGTTATTCTCACTGTGAAGCAGTTGTGCCTGAGAAACTGGAGAAGGGAGAAGAGATCCTGAATAAGTCTTTCTGGACAGTTTATTAAGCCCTAAAAAAAAAAAAAACCAAAATGGGCAGAACGAGGAGGTTGCAATTTCCTCTCCGACCTGGCAAGCATTGGGCAGTCTCTGTCTATAGTAACTCTGGTTGCCACACCTGAAAATTTTACTATCTGAATACTAAAGTTCAAAGTACAGCGAGAATGTGCAGGTAGTGACAGGGTGCAGAGGAATTACTTGCTGTGCCTGGAGTTTTCACTTCAACTCTTGATCTGGTACAGGGAGAGAGAGAGGAATGCCTAAGATGGACTCAGACTCCAGATCCCCCTGGTAAGATGTCTGGAGGATAGATAATGTAGCAGCAGAAGGCACAGATGTGTTGGGTGGTACCTCAGGTTCTCACTTGCAATTAATTTGCTTGCAGGTTGACTCAAGCATGTTTCTGAGCGCAAAGCTAAAGCAGCGCTGTAATCGTTCTCTTCCAAAATAATTTTTCTATGTTCTCAAATGTAACTTCTCACTTCTTAGTGTGTTCTTAGTGGATGAGTAATGCAGGGATTGTAAATATAGTCTGGTTATATCCTGTTGTATCAACTGAAGTGTCTTGCTAATACTTTTAGTTCAGCTGTTGGAAAGAAAACTGCAGTATTCTAGTTGTTGAAATGCTAACTGTACATTTTCAGGCATGCTGGTGAGAAATGGAGGAAGTTTTGAAGATGACTTATCCCTGGGTGCCGAAGGTGGGTGTGGCAGGATTATGACTCTTTTTCTAGAAAAAAAAAATTATTTTCAGTCATCTGATTTTTATTCTGAAAGACAGCATTTCCCTTCTGGTCAAAGGCAGTTGATAAAAGTGTAGAAAATTATCATGAAGCACATAGGAAAATGCAGGAAGATAATGCTTTTTGAGTTTATTAAACTGTTGCTGGTGCTTAACGTTCTGGTCTAACCTGAAGGTCAGAGGCAGCCCTGAATCCGCTTCTGCCCTCTCATTTTAATGCCCGCAGCGGCAGTACAGCCTGGGGCACTCACCAGAGCTGTGAGAATGTGGTTTCTCCTAGTTGCTGTTCTTGTCCGTGGGTTACTCTTGGCAGCTGTGCATGCCCCACTTCCACTGAGCCCCTTGGGAGTGGCATGTGTGGGCTTCTGAAAGGAGGAATGAAATTCTGTCAGCCGAGAGGCAAACCCATTAAGGGCTAAGTGCTTTTAAAAATGAAAAGCGCCAAAGCTGAGTAAGTATTTTGGATCAGCCACGATACACACTTCGCTGTTGCTAGCTACTTGCCTTTTCTTTCTCTTCCCTTTTTTAAGGGAAGGGGGTGTGGCTGTTCATCTTGGACTTTGTTAGAAAACGACTTTTAGCAACACTGTTGATCATGGGCTAGAGGTGTCCATAAACAAACAAACAAATAAAAGAACTGTGGATCCTGTTTTAACAGCAGCATCCTGAAGTTAAATAGCAAAAAAAGTCTCACAAACTAGGTCTTGGTGTTATCTGCAGGATAGGGGATGCAAGACAATATCTGTTTTCAGTGTAAAAAAAAAAAAAAAAAAGAAGACAAAACCACTGCCCTCACTTTGGTTTTTAATGTTTTTTGAACTACAACTTTTGCAAAATGTCAGAACTTACATAGTAGAAAGCCCTTTTCTCCCACAGTGGTCTTGCCTGTGGTGTCATAATAGTGGGACAGGGCCTGGAGGAAGGAAATAGCTTTAATTTTTAAAGATTTAAGACTTTTGAGGAGACCAGTTGATCTGATAATGACCTTGATTTGATAATGATGGAGAAGCAGTAAATGAGTCCCTTACTGCAATAGATTAAATAGGATTAAGTTTTCTTCCTGACAGTCTTTTCTGCTTGTTAGAATGCTGGCAGTACAAAGATTCAATAGGAAAAGTTTCTTTGTAATGATAATCCAAGCTCTGAGCATATGATCAGGAATACAAGAGTCGGTGCATTTTAAAACATCATGTCAATTTTTTGTTTTCAATTTTTTTCCCCCTGTCGTTCACAAGCATTTCTGGTTTTGATGAGCCTTTAGCGTATTTAGGCAGAAGGTTGGATCCCTCCTTTTCAGATGATAAATGTCCCAATACTAGAATACTGGTTGATTTTCCTGGGTAAGGATGTGGGTGTTTTTGCAGGGCTTTGCTTTCCATCCACAAACAAGGGGACAACAGAGCTGCTTGAAGCAGTGCTGCATGCCCTGCTAGCCCGCCCCTCTGAGGCTGGTCTGAATGGCCTGCCCTTGTGCATCCGTGACTGCCTGAATCCAGAGACAGCCGGAGCCCTGTGTGAATGGTACGGAGGGCATCGGGCAGGGTCCTGTAACCCCAGCCTCCTACTGAGCTGTTAAAACCCATGGTTTAGCTGTTCAAACTCATCACCAGCTAATCCATATAGATAGGCTTACCTTCATATTATATGCAAGAACATTAAAAAAAAAAAAAGTGGCTTCTGCATTTTGTAGACATTTAAGTTTCTTTGTGGTACCTCTAAAAAGAAGAGAGAGGTGGCACAGTTTCCAGGTTTTGCTCCCTGTCACTGACTTTCCCTGCTGGCACAGCGAGTCGAGATGCAGGGTGTTCCTGGCACCGCGATTGATGTAACTTCGCTCTTTCCAAGGGCTGCTGTGACCTATGCACGCTCCTTGCCTGTCTCCTGGGGCAAGTTTCTTAATGTTGAGTCGCCTCTTTGGGGAACCCATAGTTTAAGGCTGGAGCTCAACTTTCTGGGTTGACAGGGTATTGATATTCTGAAAGGCTAATGCTATCTGGGATGTTCCCATGTGGATCTGGGCTGATCCAGCTGCAGTAGTGCCAACTTCCCTGTTGGAGGCTGGTGACCAGGTGCTTGGTGCGTGTGGCTGACCTCCCTGCAGAGCCCTCTCGATTCTGAGGGTGGCCACTGGTCCCGTCAGCACCGCAGGCTTTGCCTGGCTATTGTCCATGGATTGCACAGCTTGGGCAGCTGGGGCCCTGCCCCACTTTGAGAGCAGACCGTGCTGACATAAAAACAAATACAGTCTCACTACCTGGCCACAGGGCCAGCTGCCTTTCTTATGTTCTTTACTTTCTCTTCTGGAGGAATCCTCGAGTGCCCGCTTCTCCTCCCCCCCTTCCCGCCTGGGAACAGCCCTGCAGCTGGTAATCACCTCTTCGGTTGCAAAGCAATAAATGGTTTATATAACAATTACTAGCTTACCACATGTTAAGTTTCAAGTTAGTGTGATTAATGACAGTATGTAAGCGTGTGTCCATTTGAGATTTTATTTTAAACAGCCTGAATAAACCAGATCATCTTTCTATCAGCTATATACTAGAAACCTTTGACAGTCGTATTTATATGGGAGGAGAAAAATCTGGCTTATGAGGGAGTATTGGTAAACATGCTTGCTGCCTGCTTCTTCTTACCGGTTGTGGGAAGTGCAGTTCTGAAGAGGTCTGTTGTGTAACTATTTCTTGTTTCTCTACAGCTAATCATCTACGGAGTGATGACCATATGGAAACGTGGTAAACATATTTTTTGTTTGTTTGTTTACTTCAGAGAAATATTTATACTGGAAGGTGGGAGGGAGAGGGGGCGGTGGAGGTCATGGAGGCTACCTCAGAGCTAAAGCTCTTCTGGTCATGTCTGTTTACATGAGAGGGAAGGAGAAGATGCAGATAACACAGAAACAGTCGTTAGCAGATGCAGAAAAAAGAAATGCAGATTTTTACTCTTCCAGCAGACCTGACATAGATTTTCAGGTAGCAGGAGGAAAATAGAGAAATGACAGAGTAACTTAGTATGGTCTACCTTCTTTGCCTCACTGATCCCTTGCCATTTCAGAAAGTTCAGGGGAAAATTAGTTTTGCCTTTCAGAGCCGATGTTGTTTGGGAGTGGGGAAAAAAAGAGGAGAGGCTCCTGCTTTACAGGAACAGCTTCTAAATAAAATGTGCTGAAACCCTGTTGAGACTTCAGCAGATACTGGCACAGTCCATGTGGGCAGCATCCTCGCTACTCCTCCTGAGCCGGGCTCCGTAAATGTGCTTTTTAGGTGAACCCTTTGTCTTCTTTGGTTTCTTGGTAGGTGTTTTGCTCTCTGTGTGTGTGTTAGGATTTCTATGGGGAAATTCACTCTGGGAAGGTTTGTCTCCCCTAGAGACTGGCAGTAACAGTATGTTTGAGCCCGAGTACCACCTAATGCTGAGGCGGCTTCTCCAGATGCAGGGAGGAAATAATTTGGGATTGGGAAAGAAACTGTCCAGCAGTCTGAGTTGGAGCTCGTCTTGCTCCATTTCCTCCAGCCTTCCTCTGCAGCTTTCCCAGCCACTGCCGGGGCGGCTTGCAGCCTTGGGCGAGCAGCAGCTGAGGGTATCAATCACCCCTGGAGAGGGGAGCCAGGTACCCAAGGCATGACGAGGTGCCCCTGCCATGGAGAGGTGGCCCTGCCAGATGAGGCAGCAGCATGGGGAAGGGCAGGGAAAGGCAGGACAGGGCAGCTCACCCGAGGCCGGGCTTCCTTGCTGGAGGAGGGTGGGATCGCGGAGGGTGGGGCAGCAAGGGGAGATCAGGGATTTGTTTTTTCAGCTTGCATTTGCCTTCAAATTCTTACCGTTTACGTACATTTTTACTGAGGCGTCCCAGGGTTCGCTTTTGTTATTGTATTTCAATAAATGACATGGCTAATATAAACCAGATAACACTGAAGGGGAAAAGAGAAATTCAACAGCACTGGCAGCTTAGCTCTCTTCCGAGTCAGAGAAGCGAGTCCCGAAGTGAAAGCGATTTATCGCAGGGGTCTTCTCCGTTTGTGTTGACAGCAATGGTGTGCCGGCGAAGGAGAGGAGGCTGCAGTTCCACCAGAAGGGGAGAAGTATGAACTCCACCGGGTCTGGAAAAAGCAGTGCGACTGTTTCAAGGTAAAAAAGTACTATGCTCTGAAGGTCATGGCGCAGTTCAGTGGAATTTGGCTCTGTTTTGCTGGCAAAAGTTACTTCTGTTCCTCAGTTAAATGGACTTGGCTTGATTTATGTGCTTTGTTGTGTTTAGTAGCTGAGAAGGGAATTTTCATTTGGCTTGCTTGAAAAACTGCTATTTGTTTTCAGTTGTGGTTTGCGGTAAATACTAACAAATGGTTGTAGAAGTTAGAAATGTCTGAAGTTTTAATGACACTTTAAAATCAGAGCTCTGCAGAATAAGGGCTGACTTTATAAATTACAGGATTGGATCTGAGATGTGTCTGAGCCAAATGTCTCTGGTGATGAGAACCAAAACTTGAGATGCAGAGATCTCCACAGTTATTTCCGAAAGTACATTGAGCTGTAGGAGTCAGAAGTTCAGTAGACCAAGGTGGTTGCTGGGCTGAATTAGCAGTTGGAGAGAAGGAACTGGGTCTTTAAAGCACACAAGTAGATAGTAAAAATCTTTTTAATTTGTTTAGTGTTTCTGAATTACTGGAGCTTTATGAGGAAGATCCTGAAGAAGTGCTCTATAACCTTGGGTTTGGAAGAGATGAACCAGATATTGCTTCAAAAATTCCAGCGAGATTTTTTAATTCATCATCATTTGCCAGAGGAATAGATATCAAAGTCTTTTTGAATGCCCAAATACAGCGCATGGAAGTGGAAAATCCAAATTTTGCTTTAACAAGTAAGTAGGTTTTTGAAGCAAAATCTATTTTTAAGTTTTTGAACCATATAACCAACCTCAGAAGAAGGTATACATCTAATATTCTAGAAAACACCCTTTCCAGCCTGAAGGCCAAACTCTACTCAGAACCTACTATAAAACTCTTGCTTAGTCTTAAATATGGCAAGAGGTGACCATCAGTGTTGTACACCTTGGGGTGAAAGGAAGGGTTTTATTGGGGTTGGGGGGGGGGGGTGTGGTGGGGCGGCACTGAAAGGCATCTAAGATATATTGCCTTCTGGTTTGTGTCATTCCTATCTCTTCCTCCTAAGCTTGTCTTCTATTGTTGCTTTAGAGCCCTGAAACAAATAGTATTATCCATCTTTTTCATGTGTTCTTCAGTATCCGGGTGGGATTTTTGAAAGAGGTCAGCAGCAACCTACTTCTGTGGTTGTTGAAAACTGGGCTAGTATTTCTGTTGACTTGGACAGAGGCCCTGTTAGGTCAGTAATGAGCATTTCTGAAATGAGGGCATAGCTGAAATGTCCTGTTGTGGTTGTAGATGGAGAGAGCGATGCAAGTAACCCTTTTCTTCTTAGCACTTTGTAAATTAACTTGCACTTGGTTACCTGTGTCCCATTTTTATTTTGTGAAGGCATTTCTTGCCGTTTTCCTCATGCATTTAGCAAACACTGTTGCAAAGTTTTTGCCATTGTTCCATACTGTGTGGCCTCACTTTCACGTTACAGGACTAGGCAGTGTTCAGTCAACCTTTGGGACCCCTGATAGAAGTAGGAGGAGATTTTGGGTGAGGGGAAGGCGGAAGTTATGATGAAAATTCCTTCTTCAGATATGAAGAAAGATCTGTCTCTGAGAAGTCAAACCATTATGTAGAGATGGATCAATAACTCTAGGATGTGATCACAGCAAAAATCCTCATGAACTCTACCTTACGTTTTGTTCTTGTGCAGGTCGTTTTCGTCAGATTGAAGTGCTTACTACTGTGGCCAATGCTTTTTCTTCTTTGTATTCTCAAGTTTCTGGGACTCCCTTGCAAAAAATTGGTAGTATGAATTCAGTGTCTTCCAGCAAAGAGGCATCCAGCCCTCCACCTTTAAATCGCAGCAATACAGCCAGTCGGTTGATGAAGACCTTGTCAAAGCTCAATCTGTGCGGCACACAGCAAGGCGATGGTAGCAGCTGCTCGACCCCTTCACCTGTTGAAAAAGGGAAAAGTCCAGCTGAACCAGGGAGTGAGGAAAGCGATGTTAAAAATGAATATAAATTACCAAAATACTCTAAAAAGAAAGACTCTGCCTCTTTTTTGGCTACTGTAAAGGAGGAGATAGCCAGTAGTCAGACAAATGCTGCAGGCTCACATAAACCTGCAAACCTTCCTGCTGGGACTGAGGATAAGCAAGAAGGTACTGTGTCTCCAGCAGATGTGCAGAGCAGCAGGTTGGCAAGTGCCCAGGATGGACTGTGTGAAGAATCTGGTCCTTTGGACTCGCCAAGCCTCAGCAGCAGTTCCAGTACATCCAACAGCAGCACCTCGACACAAAGGCTGCCCACAGCATCGTCAGGTAGAGACCCCTGCGCTCCACTCCCAAACCCGTCCATAATGAATCTCATGCTGCAGCAGAAGGACTCCTTTGAGATGGAAGAGGTAGGTGGAGACAGATGACTTTGTTTTTGCATACAGTTTACATAACTTGCCAGCTGCCAGCAGAGGAATGTTCCCTCCTGTGTATCTGACAGTGTTTTCTCCAGGAATACTTTAAATTCTCCAAGTATCAGGACAGTTGTCGCAGTCTCTTGGTAGGCTGCTTTAATTGATCCTGGTAATGAAATAACTTGGTGCTGCTGCTGTTGTTGTTCCTGAGAGTCGGCAGGAAAGTCCTCCTTCTTTTTTTTCATTGAGTTCAGGTAATTGCAGTTGTTGGCAAGACAGCTAGGAACTTTTCTTGTGGGAATAGATCTAGGTTAGGCTTCATATATATAAAAGCCTTTGGTTTAAAATTTTTCTTTTGCTTAAATTGCTAATTTGAAGTCATTACTTTTGTTGCCTAAAAGTAAATTGACTTTATCTATTGATCTTGATTAAGGACAAATTTGTTGTTGCGTGTTGTTGTTTTGATAACAATCTACTCTGTGTTGATCTGTTTGTTCTCTGGGAATTAGCACACTGAAAGTTGCCATTTGTCGTGCTTTTGGTGATGGTTTAGTTACAAATTCTGTGCTAGCTCCCTTATAATGTCTTCATGTATCCATTTTTTTGATTGATAATCGTCCCAAAGGGTTTTTTAATTTCCAGGTTCCTGTAAGTGCTTTGTTTATTAGGCTAGTAAATGTGCAGCCTACAAATTCGAGAGTGCATTTTTTTTTTTTTTTTGCATAGACTCACACCTTCAATTGCAAGATTTGTCTTAAATTAGTAAATGGTTTTGTGGACACATTTCAAAGTGGCTGTTGTTCACAGTTCAGCAGTTAACTTTTTTGTCTGTGTGAAACAGATATGTAAAATGAAGGATTGTGATTTCGATGGCAAAATGAGTGAAGAAAGCAAGTGAATAGAAAAACCCCAGAGTTTTCCAGCAAATGATGAAGTGATGTAGTAGGTACTGTGTCTAGTGTTGTATGGTCATTACAAGCTCTTCTGGATAAACGAATGTTGTAGCTGGAGGCACTCATTAAGTAGAAAAAGGTAATCCAGCCTCTTGGAGTTTCTGCCACTTGTTTGTGCCCGTTTGTCATCACCCACATACTGTGTGGCCATCTACTGAACCCAGAACGAAGCTGAGAGGGGAGAAATTTAATTTAAAAAAATTAAATTATTTCTTTATTTTTCCTGGCTTAGTTTTCAACCAGGTAGTTTTCTTGATCCAGTTTGTTTGGCTGCATGGATGTTTGCATTGGCATATGGTGGGAGTCTGAGTGGTGATGCGTTTTGTTACATATTGCAGAGGAGAAATCTGGTTTTTGGTGCTCTTGGGCAACATTGAAACAACTTATATATATAGATTTAAAAAAAAGAGGAATGGAATTTTCCTTCAGAGTAAGTTGGACTGTAAAGGGTTATGACATGAAGAAGGCTTGCCGAATTTTGCACAAGCCAAACGTAATGCATTTGCAAAGTTTTGGTTGACACACTTTGCAATGATGCCAGTGCATAAACACAGCTGTTTTGGCAAGACGACACTCAACGTGGGATGGGATTGTGGTGAATTTTTGTTTACGCAATATGATATATACTTATCAACTGCCTACAGATCACTGGGAGGGAGGGATTGGGTTTTGTTGCAGAAACTTTAGAACAATACTTGGCAGCGTGGTATTATTTTCATGTGTCTCTAAGGAGGGTATAATGAACAATAAACTGTATTAGAAATAGTGACAATAACTCCTCCTCCCCGTCTTCTCAGTTTGGCTTGGAGTGCATTCATACGCATAAGAAAGATGACAGATATATCAAGGAAGCTCATTCCATGCTTACGAATGCCTTGGAGGTTTGAGTGCCCTTCGGAAGTCTGTGGCTGTGAAGATAGCTACTGCGGGAGTGAGTCAGGGCAGGATTTCCCCCAGACACCCGCTCCTGAGGTGGCCAGTTACAGTCCTGAAGGTCGTTCACCAGCATTAGCATGGGGGATGGAGAGGGGAGTGCTTCTGCGCGCTCGCGGGGCTGCACCGTGCTGCGGGCACGGCCAGGGTGCTGTCTCCCTGCCAAGGATGGGAGGTGGAGAGTATTTAAATGAGAAGATGCTTAGCTGTTGGGAGGCTGCAAATGTAGCAGCAAACTGGGAGGTTTGAGAGAATCGGGACTCCTTTCCTGCAAGGCAAGTCCAGTCAAAGGGCCTGTAAGGTTATTTGCTGGTGGGTTTTTTTATTTTTTTAAATGTTTCCTAAACTTAAATGGTGAGCCCCTTCTATGCTCCCCTGCATTTGGATAAAATAAGGATTTAGCCGTTTGGTACAGCCTTCAACTCCTAGAGGAACAGAAGCCTCTTGATTTATTGTGCAATAGTAATGCTGTTCACTTATTAATGGTGAAACATTCAGGCCAAGTACTTCTGGAAACCCTGGTAACTGAGAAAATGCACTTTTGTGGCTGCTATACACATGATATCAATGCAAATATAGCTGCTTCATTAGCAAAATAATAATTTGGGTTTAAAATGATCAGTACCCTGATTTTGCATTTTTAAGTTGAGCAAAAATGGGGATGAAAATTTCATTGCTGGGAAATTCTGAAACTAGGCAGGCAGCCCTTTAGGGGGAAGGGTTGGGGGTAGTTGGATTGGGGGTGTAGACTTGCATGAGAACCGTTAGGATTCTTTATGGGGCACACAAAAGGGAAAACATATTCTAGGTTTTGAACTAAACAAAGGCCTCCCTGATGAGATTTTAGGCATATTCTTCTCTTTGTTTGAATGTTTGCCTGAGAACTGCTTTTTTAATAAGGCTGTGTTTCACAAAGTGATTAAGTAATAGGATTAATTTTCATGTAGTTTTAAGTTTCCCAGTTGAAATCTGCATGGCTGTGAATACATTATCTTCCTCTTTTTGTACTGGAAGACAAAAGAAGTATTTTCATGAGCAGTGGTGTGGTGAAGTCTGGAGAAGGTTCTGGCAGGGTCTGGGTCCTTCTGGAGGATTGGTGGCTTGTGGGAAATAGTTGTTAGGGCAGCAGATGACAATCCTTACATGCTGACCTCTTGATATATTTTTCTAAATGTATTTTGCTTGTTCTTTTTATTCAAATGAGGGGCCAAGAGCGCTGAATGGAAAAGACAGCAGTGTAAAGGTGGTCAGAGGTGTTTCCACATAATTATTTTAGTCTTTCATCAAAGAGGAACTGAGAACTCAGAGTGTTCTCACAGGGTGTGATTTCCAGGTCTTTTTGCATGAGGGGAGGCCTGCGCTGTGAGTGGGAGCTGCTGCCCTAATGATCACTGTTCTCCCATAGGAGCATTACTGAGTACCCGATGAAATAAAATGTTGGTTCAAGGAGATAATCATTATAGGCAGACGGACTGGAATAAAAACCAAAACCAACAAAAAAACCCCCTTGCATGTGCAGTGTAGATAGCTTGGGCATTCTTAAGCACAGGAGCACATTCCAGTTGGTCTGACAAAATATTTATCTCCTCTTCCCGATAGATCCAGAGTACAGAGGGGGATCTACCGCACGTTCCAGCGTCTCACCAGCTGGCAGTGACCAAGTCAAGGAAAGGTGAGTAGACTTCAACTCCTGAGAGACAGCAGTCTACTGTGTGTCCTTTCCTCTCTGAAGTGCTGATTCAGATATTTAAAATTTCTAAAGTTTTTTTTTCTCTTTAGAATTAAAAAAGATGTGGGTTTCTTTTTCAACAAAATCACAGAACATTACTGCAAAGTGGCAACCAAATTACAGGCAAGACAACAGCCCTATAACCTCACTGGCTGTTTTCACTTTTGTACAATTGATGATGGCTCGGAGGGACTGAAATGTTAATTCAGACTGTGTGCGATTTTTTTTTTCCCTTACAGATCCTGTAATTTACGATACCCATTTAAACTAAAATTATATTGCTTTAAACCTAAATTGCATGATACATCCAGATTTTTCCTGTATGCTACTGCTCCATCCTCAAGCTGGTGGCACAGAAGACTAATGTCTCTGCACCCACATGGAAACTCTAGTCCTTTGCATAGGAAACTGCACATGGCTCTTCCAGTGCTCTTACTCTGTGCTTTCCTCTCAAATTCTTATTTATGTATTTTATGGCTTGGGAGAAGGACAAAGCTGATCTTTAAGTTCATTTTGTGATTACTTTGCCCAACATTGGCAGGTGAAGTCCGTTCTCTAGCTGTTATGTGTAATTAAAGAAGAAATAGAGCTTGTTGCATTTAGTGAAATGCTTAGCTGCAATGCAATTTCTTGGTGAAACATGACCAGCATCTCTAGATACTAAAGAGAGACAGAAAAACCTGTCTTAGGAAACATAGATCATCATCTTTGCCTTTTCACAAGTGAACTGACAGTCTTGTGAACTGTCAGCTGAATTGCATTAACATGCATGAGAATGCTCAGGACTCAGCTCTGAAGGTTAATGCCTGGTTATTAGGGATAGCTTGTGCTGCTAGTTCAGCAGTGTTTTGCACAACACAGCATTGCACTTGCTAGTCTTCCTCTGTTACAAGCATAGGCCACCAAGAAGGACTGCCAGAAACTGCATCTCTAACTCTTTCTAGCATATCTCCCTTGGCTGTATTTTAAAGTTTGTGATTACATGTCAAGAGCTGCACTTTTTACAGGTCAGGGCTCTTGTTTTCCTGGCCTTGGCAGTTTCAGAAAGCGCTTTTTCAAAGAAAGGCAACTTAAGGAACCAAGAGCTGCAGTCAGGGAGGAGAAAAATAGTTTTTCATCTTCTGAAATGCTAATATTGTGTTTTCTGTTCCCAGTAGCTATCTTACCCTGTTCTTCCTCCGTGCAAGGGAAAAAAAAAGGTCAGGTGGTCCTGTGTGTACCTGCTGAAGGTACTGACAGTTCTAGCAATGGGTCTTCAGTATGGCAGAAGCGGGGCACGCTAGCTCATGTTTCCCAGCTAGTGTATCCCACCCATTTCTGAGTGCACTTGGCATAGATTAGTGATGTCACTGTTATCATGCAAGTATTGCCTGGAGTTTTCTATGGCTTACCTAACAAGAATGTCAGTGCTGATGGTAAGCCTACATGTTTGCTACAAGGTAGTCTGAGACCAACATTTTATTTCACCTGGAAGATGTGGAAAGCTTAAGACTTTGTTCTATATGGGTTTCAGTAAAATTGCCAAGAGGGAGAGCTTTTGGTGAAGAACTTAACCAAAACGTTAAAAAACAGTAGTCTTTTTTTTTTTTTTTTTTTTCAAATTGTCCAACATGTTTTCTCAGAGATGCAGGTACTCACCAAGTTTGAAGGCATCCAGAGTTAATGGTCACTTTTAAAAAATGCTGGTCATTGTGTCTGAATGTGAAATGCCACTCTCACTAGCCAACTCTTGAGGTGAGATCAGCATCAGTCCTCTGCTGCAATGTGATGATCCTCATATAGACCCACCTTTTCAGTGGTGTTGGCTCTACTGTATACACGCACCCATAAACAAAAAATTTATTCCACATGAATGCTTCTCCTGAAGGAATACTTTTGTACTTTTTTTTTTTTTCATCTAGGGGTACTTCTGGGTCAATTAGCAGGCTCAGTGCTGTTCAGTACAGACTGTTATTAACCTTGCAGTGTCATTTTACGTCTACACAGAGGGCTGTGTATGCTTTCTCTGACACAACAGCTTGTAAGACACTTTAAGAGGGCCTGTAATAAGATGTGAAGTATTTGAATTAAAAAAAAAAAAAAACTCTCTTTTCTACTGAAATAGTGTAGAGACTTAAGATATGCTTGAACAACACTTGACCTGCTCCTTAGACTCCACATTAAAGCGTGATTCTCATTTCAGATTAGGTTTGTTTATCAGTGGTAAGAGATTTTCAAAGTGACTTGCAAATGATTGCTTTGCTATGGTACTGGCCTGGCTAAGCACTTTACAGGGGATACAAAGAATTCACTATCGTATTGAGTAGCTTGATGTACTTTCAGTTTATGTCTTCCAAATGGTACTGAACTGAGCAGTTTATCCATTATGCCCAAAACTGGCATTCTGTTCTTTGTTGTTGCAAACTTCAGATATAGATGTACTTCTGTGCATGTGGGATTTTTTTAGGAATGCAGTAGAGAAGAATGAAAAGCTTCAGTTGCTTTGTGTTGTAAACATTCAGTACTGCTAAATGTCCACTATAAAAAACCCCAAATACTTACTGTGAAGTTATCTGGAAGGAAGGCTTGTTAGTTGGAAAACAAAATTCTTCCTGACATTTACACAGCAGTACCTTCCATTCCAAAAATGCCCAACAAACAAGACAAATATAGGTACAACACGTAGAGAAAAAAGTAGTCTTGAGGCATTGTAATTTCTGAGTGTCTGGTTGCTGACATCAGTGGCTCTGTGAAATTTTGAAGAGCCACAAACCTGTTTCTTTTAAGGCATCTGGCATTGATAGTCAAAAGCAGTGATTAATTTTGAAAATTCAGTTCTTGAAAGTAAGAAAACACATCATCAGCACTTCCTGTCCTTACTATATTAGTGTATTTATGGCGCTCTGTGGGTGCAGCTCTACAGGGATTGGAGATGGGGAAGTGAGAACAAAACATTTGGAACAGATTTAGTAATTGTGGCAGTCCGTGCTTCTCTGTTCAGAAGCTAGGAAATCCCCAGGGACTCTAGGGAGAGTTTTGGCGACAGGGGCTTCTACTGGACTGCTTTTGGCAGTGCTGGGGTGCAGGGTGCTATCAGTATGGGAAAAAGGGGCAACAGATCTTTAGTCCTGTAATGAATACTGTCATTATTTAATTGGGAATGACCATTTATTAATAATCTCATGAAATACAAAGTGCATTAGAGCTTTGCAGGTACAAGAAACATAGATGTTACTGAAGCTTCAGAGGGCAGTTTCCGCATATTTCTCCTCCTCTTCTGTATGAGCAGTTGAGTGACAAAGTAAGTGTAAGACAGGTATCTGATGGGACTGTTTGGATTGGTGAGACTGACAGTCCATTGGTAGCTGAATATTATTTTACAATAGATAAATTATTCCATTATTTGATAGCGATTCTCTGACAAATCTGTGCTCTCATGTTCACAGACTTGTTTCTTCATCATCTGTTCTTGTTTGAACTTTTTCTTTCTGAATACCCACATTTCACTGGCATGTATTCCATGCCTAAATATATTTTGATATTGTTATACAGCTTAAAACAATAATCCAAGGGGCATTTTCATTTGTGCTCTGTTTAACTGCGACATGAGTTTGATTGTTCCTTCTGGGTTTGTTCGTCTTGGCTGGTTCCTTTTCCCACACTTTTCCTTATTATGCTACCTCTGGCCTTCTGCTAGTTCAGATTTCTTATATGCAGTGTTGATAATAGCTTTGGGCTGCAGGGTTGGCATCGTGCAGTGACCTTTCTGCAAAGGTGAAATTGCCTTAGTGGGCAGGGCAAAGGATGACCCCACGTTAGTCCCTACAACCCAGCCTTTGGTGCTGAGTTTTCTGCATTCAGGGTGGAGAGAGGGGAGACGTATCTCATCACAGGCTCCTTCTCTTAAGACTCTCCATTGCAAGTAGGCATTTTATTCAAGATCTGAATGTAACAGCTTTTTTAAAAAATGTTTTCATGCTTTTCCCTTGTCTGCTTGAATCTGAGAGACAACCAGTTGCCACAGAGCGGGTTGTACATCTGGATCAGTTGTTGACAAGGAGGGTGGATAGCATTATGTATGAGTATATCCCAATGTGCTACTAGGTATTTTCAGTCTTTACAGAACCAAACCTTGTAATTTCACTGCTGTAGTAGTAGAGATTCCTGTTCTTTAAAAGTTTTTACTGCATTTACATGATAGTGATATAGTGGAAAACTGAGAACTTGCAAGACACAAGGGTAGGGTGTGGTGGAAGATGACTAGTCAGAAAATACGTCCTCTCTGATTTGTTTTAAAATGTTCAGAAAAAAATCCTAGCAGCTCTGCATCACAGAAGGCACAGTATGACTGTATTAAGGGGATGTCTCCTTAGGTGGGACAAGGACACCTAATCTGTTCATGTTGTGCTGGTCTCTTGCCACGGATAAAGATGATGAGGCAGATATTGAGTGCCTCTGCTCTAGTCTGACCACATGACTTGCAGTACCTGTAATGTAAGGCTGTCAAAGCATGCATGCTAATTAGAAATACCATAGAAAATGGTATAAAACATGGGGTTTTTGAGTTTATTATGGTGTCTCCGAGGAGACCAGTAATTAATTTGAGGGGACGTGTATATGTATGTAAATTTTTTTTTATAGCTGCAAAGGAAATACTGACTGAGAAGGAAACAGACGGGCAGGTCAATATTTTTCTTGAGTAGTAATAAACTTAATGCACATGAAACCAGATGCCAGGACACACACTGGTTTATCTGAACTAATTGGAATCTCTCTCATGTGGCTAAGGCTTTCACCAGTAGCGCTTTTTCCTTTTAAATTAAAATTCACCAAATAGGAAGAGAGACAGAGAGGAGGCCAAAGTTAGGTCACTGTTCACCTTGGAGGAGGTGACAGCTTCCCACCAGCCTCAGCTGTCATGGCAACCTGTTCATGGCGTGCTCTCTCAGCCGGATTAATTGTATCGGGCAGTTAATAAGAGCTGGTCCAGTTCTCAGGGAAGTCATTTCCATTGTCTTTACTGGGAGCTGGGTGGGGATGTCTGTCTTGAGGCAGAAAAGTTGTTTATCATCCCAGGATATTGTGGCTACCATGATAACAGAACAGCAACACAATTTGAAAGGCACTCCCTAAAAACTGTGTGAAATTGCTGATACAGAAGTTTAATGGGCAGTTTGCCTCTCCTGGTGTTCACAGACTTCTGGGCCTGTGCAGGCTTTTATTTCTGTGTTAGTGAAATGTTCATCAAAATTAATACAAAAAAAAAAATCAGTTCTGAATATCCAACAGTTTCAAAACAGTTTTCATAATGCATTCCAATGCATTGAGCTGTGAACTGGGATTAATTATATGATGACAGTTAAGTGGTTGAAGGAATGCGGGGCAAAATTCTGCACTGAGCCTCCAAGACAGCAACAAGCTCTCGCCCCAGGGTGAGGAGGAGACAGCAAGGATGTGGGGGCTAGAGGCCACTGTGGTCTCATCCCAGCTCAAAACTTTTACACTTCTGATGAGAATTAGAGCTGAGATGCAGTTGTTGCCTCGGCTGCCATCTGGCTAAGCAAAATGTTTATGGTGCTGTAAGGTAAACCCCGTACCAGGCGAGTGCCTCCTCTGTATAGTAGGGAGTGATACACGTGCAGTACTATACTGCAGAATTTACTGTGATCTCCTTGGAAAGCAGCTTTGTGGCTATATAGTGCTTGCACTAGAGGAAACCACTTCTGGGTAGCACTGAGGATTTTAGAGTCTCTTTAGGCTGTTTTAACACTTACCTAATGTAAGTAGAAAGGAACAAGCAGGAGGACCTTATCTTTCGTGTATAAAATGAGTGCTGGGAATGTGCCTTGGCAGATCGCCCATTGATGTGTCAGAGATGTTTTGTATTTGTCCGCTAGAGCAGTGGAGGACCATCTCTAGCCGTTCGCAGAGCCCTGTGCATCGCCCTCTCTGCTCATGTGACGCTGTTCTCGGGGTGTATGGGGTGGTGTAGGCTGGCAGGAGACGACCGCCTGTATCTCCATGATCAGAAGGGGTGGCAAACCTGTACCTGTTAATACAAAAGCAACTGTTCCACTGCCTGCATATGAATTAACCAGTGATTCCATTTTGTGGAGGGAAAACTCCACACAAGTGTCAACATCTGCAGAGTCGGGTTTTTTCCACTGTACAGGAAAGAAAAATGTAAAAGATGGTTCCTTTTCCACTGCTGCTTGGTTTCATGAGTATGGCTTTGCATGAGAAGAGGTTTTGCTTGTAACAAACAAGCTGTTTCTCTGTATTGTTCAAAGCGGAGCTTGAAAAGGAATTGTGTTATCCACTTAGAGTTCCTTTGATGTAAAAGGAAAGCGTGTATTGAATGTGATTGGGCTTGAAAGGTTGTGATTTGTAAAGTAATTGTGGTTGTGTTTTGCTTGCTTTAAACAGATCAGCTATTACGGAGTGCGAGTCAGCACTCTGACAGCAGTGGCTTCGCTGAGGACTCCTCCACAGATTGTTCTCCGTTTAATCAGCTTCAGGTAAGGTTCCCATACCGTGGTTGGTTATTGTGGGATGGTTGGGACCTGGGGAGGGCAGGAGGGATGTTGATGGTTGACTGCTATTGTGACAATCAGTCTAGATCTCATAAAACTTCTCATTTTCAGAGCTGGACCTGCTGAGTCCAGGTTAAGGTTACAAAAGATTATAGGGTTTTTTTTCTGTTAATTTAATTTTTTGTATAATTTTTGCCTTCCCTCTGGGTTTTAAATTTTTTTTTTTTTTTAAGTTAGCAGCTGACAGAAAGTGAAAACAATTTCATACTAACTTTACTGGGAAGGTGTACTAATGTGTAGTTGATCTTGAGCTCCCAGACTCGTTCCAGTTCCTTTGATCTCAGTCCCAGAACTTGCCGTGACACTGACCAGAGACCACATGTCACAGGGGAAGCTTTTGTTTCAGAGTGGTGGTTAGGCGTCTGCCCAATACACTCGTTGGCTCTGTGTTGTTCCTGATACTTAGAAGAGGTATTATCTTGCCTCTCCTAAACCATTTGCACAGTAATAGCCATTATTTGGTTGGCCTATCAGTCAGCCAGGGAGAACTCTAGAGTTGGATCCTGGCCTCAGGGCCAACAGTTGGCTGTCTGGAACCTAAACCACAGTCCCGAGGAATACAAAGGTGGGATTCTGGGTATCACCAGTAATTTCATTTCTGTGGCTTGCAGGCTGCTGAACTTTTTTTTTTTTTAATGCTACTGTATGGTTTTTTCCTTGTGGCACACCAGACATTTTATAGGCTGTTTGGCACTTACTAGGAAGATATTCCCTCCCTCCCCATCCATCAGCGTTGCTTTCCTGTTTTGGTAGTGGTATTCTGTGCTTTCCAATTTACTAGTTTTTCAACAGAGTACTAAAATGAAAGCCAAGACAGTGCTAGTCTTTGTGTTAAACGTCAGCTTACACTTTCCAAGAGCAAGTGAGTGAATAAAGGAAATCATGAGCCTGAGTCTCTGTATTGAGCATAATAGTCCAAGATACTGGTTCTGTTCTCTGCTTAATTGGGACTGCACTGAAGTTGACAGGCATGTTAGAAGGTGTCTCAGATTGGACTTGCTCGCATCTGATCCTTAAATTGGTTGCAACCTGATCAAGAGTCCATTAAAAGCATGTTGCAACTAAGTGCCTCTTCGCTGGAAGACTGGTGGAGTTTATTTGCGTTGGCTGTAAAGGGCTGAGATTTTTCTGCTCTCTATTTCTGCTCTCGTGTTTTGACACAATGTATTGAGACTGCAGGAGGTTTGTGCTATGGAGTTGCTAGGCCCTCTTCTGCCACCTTCACTGCTTTATTTGGACCAAGTGCTGGGCTGAATTCAGAAAATATGGGTGAATGATGAGACTAGGGGAAATGAGAAGTTGGCAGCTAGAGAAGAGAACCTGTGAAAAGATGAAGGGGATACAGAGGGGTGTATATTGTTTGATAAAAGTATGGTAAGTTAGTGCCATCTACTGTTAAATAATTGACTCTAGCAGCCATAGCATTCCTCTGAAACTCAGGAGAAAACTCAGACCTCTTCAATAGAGATTAGCAGCCAAATGTGAGATTCTCAGTCTCAAACTGGAATTTTGAAACTCAAAATTCTGGAACTTAACACAGGCTGAGCGTGTAGGCAGTCTGGTTTTCTTATTTTAAATGTTGTCCAGTGACACTAGTTTCACTACAGTCTGCAGTACTCCTCACTTCTCCGTATGCATTCTCTACCACCCTTTGTTTCAGTGCCGACTGTGAACCTTTATATGTGGGAGATGCCATGTACCTCTACCCTGCTATTCCTTTGTCATCACTACCTAAAATACTGGCATTTTACTTTTTTTACTCTGCTGCCACTTCTGTTCTTCTGGCAATAAAGAGTTTATTGTCAAATCAAAGAAATGTGTGAATGGTTTGCCTTTTTTTTTTTTTTTTTTAACCGTCTCCTTTTGGTGCCTACTTCAGTATGCTTCTAACTTGATACTATGGTTTCTTTGTTCTCCTTTGTTTTTCTTGAACACTAATTGCATTATTCTTTCTGCTCCCCACCCCAATGCCCAATGAATATGGACTTGGACTCTCAGCCCCACTCCTGAGAAGGCAGTAGTTGAGTCTCCAGTATGTTCACCCCTTTGCTGGCTCCTGTCTTTCCTAGGTTCAGGAGTCTTTGCAGGGCATGGGAAGTAGTGCAGACAGCTGTGACAGTGAGACAACCGTGACGTCGCATAGTGAAGAACAGAAGACACCGGTAGCCAAGGAACTGCCCTGTTTCAGTAAGTTTGAGGAGGAGGAAGATGAGGATGAGGAAGAAGATATCATCTCTCAAGTAGAGAGACAAAAGGTTGGGGTACCTTCTGAGAATAGAAGGAGTGAAGATAGAAAAATTATTGACTCTGAAACTGAACAAAATCTAGGAGGAGGAATCAAGTTATCTCGTGTATCAGAGACAGTCCAAGGAGAGGTCAGCTCTAAAGAGGAAGATATTTCCAGTCAGCAAAAAGACCTGGAGCTGCTGGAGGAAGGCAGCGTGTTTGAGTTTCCTCAGTACCACACGCACCATATCCTCAGGTCAATGGAGTCTCTGGGAGGTGGCAGCTCCTCCCCATCGTCTGTGGACAGGGTTCACATTGCTTTGCAAAGAGCCGAGATGAGGATCATCAGCACATCGGATTCCAGGGCCGGGCGCTCTCTGCTCAAGTCAAAAGATCTCCTGAGGAAGCAGAGACTCTGGTTTGCTGAATCGGGCTATCCTCTAAGGCGGTCTCAGTCTCTTCCAACTGCATTGCTGAATCCAGTGAAAGTGGTGTCTTCTGTAAATGTCCAGTTAACTCCAGGAAAAGAGACTCTGTGCAGCCCTCCGTCTTTCACCTACAAGTACACACGTGTGGAGGGAGACGAGAAAGCGACGTCTGATAATGACAAAAGTGAGGGTGAGGCAGCCGCCAGCCAGCCAGTGTGCAAATCCACATTGTTCATTGCGCCTTCCTCCTCCAAAAAAGAAGTGCCCCAGACTGGGCCCAGCAGGCTGTCCGAGGAGGCCAGTCCCACCAGGGTACAGAGCTGCCTGCTGCACATGCCAGCACACATGTCCCAGTCGACGTGCTCCCTCCACTCCCTCCCCACTGAGTGGCAGGACAGACCGCTCTGTGAGCATGTAAGGACGCTGAGTACCCACAGCGTCCCGAGCATCTCTGGTTCTTCCTTTGGCACCTTGCTTTCCCCCTTCAGCTGTCCCTTCTCTGCAAGGCATGCTGGATTTCCTCATCGACCTCATGTCATCAACCCACCCTCCACTGTGGAGATGCAGCTTCGCCGGGTCCTACATGACATCAGAAACTCTCTGCAGAACCTCTCACAGGTATGAGGAAGCCAAATTTTGTCCCTGGGCTAAGTGACTTATTTTATCCTTACAAATCCAAAATGTTAACCTCAATATTCCTTTGCATAGTGCAGCAGATCAGGAAAAATGACGTTTAGTTCAGATTTGATTTGCTGCTGTTTTAGGAGCTTCTGTTTAAAGTGGCAAATGATCATCTCCCTAGTGCTCCACTGGTTTAGTACTTAAGTTTTTCTTGTTGCAGCTGACCCAGATTGATTTTATTTTTAATTTTTTAAAATTTTATGAATGTCATTGTGTGGGAGGAAGGAGCAGTGTATTTTTTATCAGCTCTTGTTTTAAGGTGATAGTCATTAGGTTTAGATTTGAAAATATGTATTGGCAGTCCTTTAACTTCTCTGACATTTTTTTCATTGCAAGTCCCATGGCTTCACTAATGATGTCAGTGGTGATGGGCTGTTCCATGTACATTTCTGTGCTATTTCAGGCCAACCTTTTTCATGTTCAACTCTGGAGCTTGTCAACATGATCTGGAAGTCATGTCTTTTATTAAGAACCAGTCTTGTCAGTGTCTGAAATTTTGTCGATCTCATCGCTTGGAGAAGAAATGCTTGAATATGAGAGCACATTTTTACCAGTTTCTGCCACACCTCTCCTCCTTGCCAGCTTTCCCTCCTCTGCCATCCCTGTACTGCTGTTCTCTTTGGTGGTGATCCCGCTTAGGAGCCCGCAAGGTGCTGCAGCAGGCTATGCAGGCAGAGCAGTTGCAGACTGTGCTCATTCATATATGAATACATGAAGACTGTTACGTTGTAGAGCTTCAGCAATTTCTGTGGGTTTCACTCAAAGACAAACGTGCTTGCCTGCACCATGTTGCAGGTGGTAGGCTGTAGTGGGCCTTTTTAGACCTCCATTGCTTGCTTTATTTTGTTCCTTATCAAAAGCTAGGGGCTAGTCCAGCCTGACTGGTTATATGAGCTGGCCCTGCTTCTTGGAGCAGGCTTTGGTACTGGGGCACAGCTCTGCAGTGGAGAGCTGTAATCAACTGTGGTTTGTCAGCCATTGCTTAAGGTAGTGGACAGTGTGCCTGGGAGTGGGTGTTTGCAGAATTTAACCTTCTTTGTAAGATTTCCTCTTGTGTTCCAGTTGCAGCCTTGATCTGTGTAAAGGTTACACGTGCTACAGTGCTTTTACACCTTACACCATGCTACCTAAACCTGCTGAAGAAGAAACCACTGTATTATGTCCAGAACTCAGGCTCGTGCTGGTTCAATTTTTTAAAAATAGTATCAGAAGGGATAGTATCTCCTAGTCCACTTCTGCTTCCGGATTAATTAGTCTACACCAGTTCCATTTTTGGGCTTTGGTCCTTCTCGTTACAGAATTTTCTGTGAAAACATTTTGCTTACAATACATAGTTCCTTGATACTGCTTTCTCCTACAACCAAGATCAAATTTGGCACAGAGCATACTCAGCAGCTAAAGAAGAAGTTGAGGCGTTTCAATTATATGATTCTGGTTTCAGGAAGGAATGAAAGGGAGTAGATAAATTCCTGGTAGAACAGGGAACGGAGAAAACTGTGAGAGGAAAAACAAAACATCCCCTTGATGTAATCATGTTTGAGCAAAACTCCTTTGAATGAATGGACATGCTACAAATTTTCCATGGCGTGTCAATAGTCCGTTGAATTCTTTCAAAATTATATTGGATAATCTGTCTTTTTCATGTGTGAAAAGGTAAATGTTTTTGCTGTTTCCACTGTTCTTTGTTGTGCCATGTCTGTACATGTCACAGCCCCAGAATTTTATCTGGTTGCTCCATTGTCGATGCAGCATGCAAATAGAAATGCTTCAACTGTCTTGTTTTTATGAGAGATCATTAGCACACAGGGGTCTTTGGATGTAGGCAATGTAGTGAGATTAAAACCAAAAAACAACAAACTGAGAAGTGGCAAAACCCCACAACAACTGTGACTGTAATCATAATTTGAAAATGGGACAGTTTAATTTGCTCACTTCTGTTATGGAAGTTGTTCTTTTTATCATTAGCTAAGACAATTGAGACTACTGAGTTTTCAGGCATAAATTGTATGTGCAGGAAAACTTAGCTTTTATTCCTGTTTACTTTGTCAGACAGGACTAATTTGGTTTTTCACTTGTAGCACGTTTACATTGCAGAGCCTTGGTTCACGTGCTTCAGTTAAGAGCTGGCACTGCCGTTCTGTACGGTTTCCTTTTCCTGAGACAATATTTACATAGATATCAGAAATCGCAGTGCCAGCAAGGATGTGTTTTAGCAGTGGCTGTTTTCAGAGTATCTGCATGTTTCAGAAGGAGTTCATAATGGGGATTGCTGACATTCCCATTTCAAATTGTTTTTCTTCCCTAGTACCCGGTGATGAGGGGTCAGGATCTTTCAGCAGCCACCGGTTACACTACTCAGAGATCGTCCATTCTACCTCTCTATGAAGTAAGTGTCCCTGTTCACACAGTGGTACTTAGTTGAAATGAAACACAAAGAAACATACTAAATGTGCCAAAGATTGTGGTAACTTTGGGCAGCTCCCTATCTTTGCTTTCAAGAGATAACAGATGACTCTTCTGCAAATAACATTAAAAGGGAATTATTCTAAATACATGGAAATCCTTTCACGCATTTGCTTTTATGATACATCTAAAAATGTCACTTTCTTTGATTGTGTATATATATGATCCAGACATATTTTAATGCAATTTTTTCCATGTAATGAATTGATTTATTTTATTTTTTTAATAAGAATACTTTCCAGGAGCTACAAGTGGTAAGGCGAAATCTAAACTTATTCAGAACCCAGATGATGGATTTGGAATTGACTATGTTACGTCAACAGACAACAGTTTATCAGCATATGACAGAAGAGGAAAGGTAATAAGATCTTTTTAAAAAAAAGAGAGAAAATACTCTGGAAATACTTCAGGGAATATGTTGCTGCCCCTGAAATCTGAGCAAAATATCTTACTAGTTTCAATCTGAACAGAGTTGGAGCTGAGTTTTTGCCAAAACCTTGTTTACTCTCTTCTTTATAGTCCTTCATTCTAGAGCTTTTTCCTCCTCTTCTTCTAATCTCTAGTTCTCATTAACTGAAGACTTTTTTTTTCTTCATCCTTTCTCCAAAGTGATTTTACAGCTGTGGATTTTAAGGACTTCTCTCATAGGATACTTGAACATAGGATACGGGGGCAGGGGGGGGAAATCTTAGAGATTTCCAGCTTAGATTATTTTTTTCCCCTCCCATCTTTGTAGATGTAAATAAAAAATGGACATTGTAGCATTCAGATGCTTTACAGTGGCCACTCAGCAGGCTACAGATAGCATTCATATGCTGGTGCTGTGCGTTTGTGCGCACCATGAGTAGCAGCAGCAGCTGATCTACAACAATTTTCAAAACTGCTTATATATTTACTTTAGTTGAATCAGCTCTTGACTAACCACTTTAAAAGTAAACATATTTGAAATCAGTTCGCTTTCTTAGACAATGGCATCCCAGCCAAAATGCAGCTGCAGCTGCTTGGGAATCTAGAACCATGCAGAAGCCAGGTGTGATTTTACTGCGCTGCTCTGATTTTTGTTGCTGCTGGTTTTAAATTGGATTTGATTAGATACATGTTTAAATGCCTGTTTCTTTTGCTTGTGTATGTTTAAAGCTAAAATTTTTGGAGCATGTTCTGTGATAGTCCGTGTTGTTTAGTTTTCTCCATTAAGTGATACGTATTTTCTATCAATGGAGAAAGACTTTTGTTCCATCTAAGGGTTTCAGCTAATTTTTCCATGACAGAGGAATTTTCCGTGTTCTGCTTTGAATTCTCTCACATGGAGCCCTTTACTCATGGGGCTATACTGCTCAGTTTCCCCTTTGTGATGTGCAGCTGAGAGCAGTGAATGCCCTTGTTCTTTTTGTGATGGACTTGATATAGATATGAAGCTGATCAGCTACAGAGCTTGAGAAAGTCTGTCCGCATGGAGTTACAGGAGTTAGAGATGCAGTTAGAAGAACGTCTGCTTGCTTTGGAAGACCAGCTGAGAAGTCTGCACATGTCTTCGCCTTACAGACCTCAGACACACATAGTAAGTATTACTTTTACAACAACATGGTATGTTTTCCCAGCGTAATATTAGTAACTCATAACTGTTAAACTCTCACAGTGGTATCTGGGGACTGTAATGATGCTGTGTGTAGTATCAGGGGTCACACTTTATTGTTTTCAGTCAGCGTTTCATCTTGGGGAAAAGGTGTTCAGAGGGACTTTCTCAGTGTTAATACATATCAATACCTCTCTTAGGGGTTTTAGATCTGATTTCAGACCTCTTCTGTCAGTGCTTTCTTCTTCTTCCTCTTCATGACCCTGAAATCTCACAAGTTTGGTAGGTAGTGCTCATGTCCGAAATCCTTGGGGGATGATTATAATCTTTGTGGAGTTCCCCTACCTGGTTTTCTTACCTGTAAAATGAGGGCAGAGAGATGAGAAATTCAGTGTTACGCTCCCAAGAAATGGGGTGTGCTTCCCCTCTAGCTCTGCCAATATATAGAATAAAAAAACCAGGAATATCCAGTTGTCATCTTCTGTTTTTTCCTCCACTGCCTTTTGTAGCTCTGTCAGATGAATGTGTGGCCCCCGGCCAAACAGTGGGAGAAGTTCTACTCCCACAGACACTCCCCCAGAAGCACAAAAGGGGGGATAAAAGGCACTTGCATATGTTTATTGGTGGCATGGTGATATTCTTTCTCTTCTTTTTCACTCAGCAGCATACTGTTCCTCTTTTTTCTGCTATAACTCTGTCATCAGCCAAACAAAAGAAGCTCAGATGAAAAGTATCATATGTTCTTCCTGGGTTTCATTCCTCTTTCTTAGCCAATCCGCTTCTGTAGAAGCAGTACAGGCACAGGCCACATCTTCCTCTCCAGTATTTTGTCATGGGAAAAAATTGAAACCCAAGAACAGGAAAATATGGTATTACTGTGATCTCAAGCCAAACTTGCATTCTTTGAACCATATAAATATCTTTTTATTTGTAAATCCTTTTATAGAAGAGAGCCTGCTTTAAAAATGACTGAAGTAAACTTTCTCCAGCCAGCTTTGCTTCCTGTTTCCAAATTTCTGCTTTAACACAAAGTTGTCTGAGACACAGCACGTTTATATATTGGCTTCTGACAGTACTAAAAAAAATCCTCAATGCATTAACTTGACTTAATTTTTCAGGGTATGTATGGAAGCAGAAGCGCTGATAATCTATCATGCCCTTCTCCATTGAATGTCATTGAACCGGTAAGTAATTGTTGTGTGCTCTGTGTTTTACTAAGAAAAAGAACCAGGAAGGGATTTCTTAGTAAAGGGCGCAAGAGACTCATTTGACACATAATCTTGGAAATGCTTTACTCGCTTGAGCAGCTCTGTTGAGAACAGCTGCATTTTCCCTTAAGCAAACTTAACCATAGATCTAAGTATCTGTGAAGCCTTGTTTGTTTTTAAGAGGAATATGTAGAAGTGAGGTGTTGTTTGCATTTAGTTGACAAAATGACTACGTGGTGATGCATTTTCTAGGGGAAATCATTTCTTTTTTTCTGTGCATTTTGTTGTAGGAGTTCTGTGTAAGCTCCTGAACTACTGAAAATAAGTAGTTCAAAGACTGCAGAAAGAAAAGAACAAACCTGAATTGTTTTAGCAAAGAAAAACAAATTCAAGCCTTTACGTGTGTGTCTGTCAATGGCTCTGGCAGAACGCATCTGTATTGCAAAAGTCTGGCTTGGGGAACAGCCACAATTCATGTTTACCTTGGCTTTCAAAAAAGCCCATTCCTTTTTATGATCCTCTTTGTTGCAGTGAAAGCATATATTTATTTTATAGCTGTATTTGTTATGTGGAGGGAATGAGTAAGTGATGAATAAATAACAAGAAAGCATAGTTGTGTCTGTATATGACTTTTTTTAATATGCTTATTCAGGACTTTCTTTTCTGGATCCCTAGGTCTCCGAACTTATTCGAGAGCAATCATTTCTGAAGTCTGAACTAGGCTTAGGACTAGGAGATCTTGGACTGGAAACTCTCCCAGCAGAGGGTGCAGAGTCGGTATTCTCCCATGGAAACTCTGATTCCTCTTCAGTGTGCTCCGGTCACGCAGGTAGAAAGGCTGTTGCTGGATCCTCTGAACTAACAGGAAAGTCAAAGGGTCAAAGCAAGAAGTTATACCGGGCCTCTGTTGCCTTAACACCAACTCCCCCGGTGAGAGCAGGCGCTGGGCAGCAAGTGGAAAGCTCTGAGGAGCTTGCAGATTCCAAGCCAGAGGAGGATCACAAACTTGAAAAAGTCCCTCTCGTGCCTTTGGTTGATGAAATCCACAGAAGTGTGGAGCAGGAGGAGCTGCAGCAAGTCATACGGGAGGTGAGGAGGGGAGGGGCTGAGGTCTAGGATGTTTGCACCATGTTTACTGAAACCTGAAGACGGGCTGTCTGTAACTCTGGGGCACTGGGGTTTTCTCGTCCCTCTCTAGCTGGGGCTCCATACTATTACTGTCCTATTTCTAAAGGCTCAGAGCTTGTCACTAAATGTTCAAACTACAGTTGCATTCTTGTGCACAACAGTAGATGTTTTTTCAGTGATAGTGGTTAGCATGTAAATGAATAGCTTGTTACTACTATACATCTGGGTGAGAAGAGTTTGCAGTCTCTATTACATGGTTAAGCAACAGTGTTTCACATCCCCAAGTAGAATTTTCTCTGTTACGTTTGCTTGCTAAAATGCCAGGTTGGAGTTAATTTGATTGACAAAATACTGTTTCTGAAACAACTTAGTAATAAATGTTAAAAATGCTTTCTCGGTCCCTCTGCCCCAAACCACTAAGGACTGTAGAAGTGTAAGTGAAGCAAGCTCAAGTCAGATGAGAAGTTATTTCAAATTTTAAGACTGATGTTGCACTGATGCTGTTGGACTAGTTTTATTGGCAGTCAATGGAAGTGAAGGGTGCTTGGTTATTTTTCCTGTGGTCTGGATTAAAAAACAGGTTTGTGTGTTTTGTTTGTCAGTGGCATGACAGAAAGCTTTATGGCAAGTAGTATAAATGGGAAAAGGAAGGAAAAGAAACTTCTTGTTCTCAGAAGTTGTGCTTGAGAGAAAGTGGATCAAGGTCTCTGCTGTGAGTACACAGCAGACCGGGATTGAGAACCTGTGGGTTTTATTCCCCCTCCTTCACTAGAGAAGGACCACTTAGCCCTTAACTGAGGTTCACTGACCCTTAGCCTTTACTTCATCCCTTGAAGCTTTGGTGTGGCACTGCCCGTAAACCCCTCGAAAGGCCAGGAGAAGTGTCATGCTCAGGAATGTGCAACAGGCCAAGCTGTAATGCTGTGGTCTGCTTGCTTTGAGGCTGTGAATAACTGGAACCAGCTTTGCCTTAGCTTTGTCTTTAAAACAGATGAGAGGCAAGCCACACATCTCACGATAAAACGATAAAACCAGACTAATGACCTCATCATTATTCTGCTCAGCATTAGAAACCAAATACCTCTGGCCATCACTGGTCCTTGCAGTGGAGCTTGTGATGCTCCAACTTTACACCTCTACTTTGAAAGCAAAGGTGTGAATGAGGCAGGGTGGCAAGCATTCAATTTTTAAATGTCTACTCCCTGCTACCCTCCTGCTGTCATATTCTCTAAAGCAGCTGGAGTAAAGTTGGAAGGAGTCTTGGGAAAGGTCTTGTTTTGGAGATGTCGTAAAATACCCCCAAACATCCCAAATTCTTTCTATTTCGGGTCCCCCTTTTTTTGCATCACGTTTAAAGGGGTTCCTTGTCTAATGCTCAGAGACGACTTGCATGAGACATTTATCATGCCTTGCCCTGTGCTGCCAATTCTGAAATAAAGCCAGGATATTGCCTTTGTAACACTTCCAGCCCTTCTGTAAAAACACACAGGTCACAGGAGTTGTGTGGTGGCGGGGTGTTGCTAAAGGAGAAATTGAGAGGGGAAGAGCGCTGTAATTCAGATGTACTATAAAAGCAGCAAAGACATAAAGGGAGCTGGAGTCAAAGTACAGAGTTATTTCAGTCAATATTTTCTCTGAGGTTGGCTTGTGTGAAAGTTCCTCTTTAACTTCATTAATTGATAGCAAATAAAGATGTGTACTCTTTGTACAGAGATTGTTCTTTGGGTTGTGTGGCACTGAGGACATTGTAATGCTGAAGGAATCCACACTGAACTGGGAGGCTACTATTCAAAGATGAGTAGTCAGCAAATAACTGTGTTTGACTGCCTTTGTGAATGTTTGAGCACACAGAGAGATTGTCCCCCAGTTTAACTTCATTGGCAGTCTGCTTTGGGTTGGCTTGGATTCTCAGCATGAGAAGTTTTGTAGGTCAGAAGGAAGATACATTGGCTGAAAGCACCTCATAGTTTAGCCAGAATATGCTATTAAATACTGATCAGGAAAATATTTTGCATTTCATAAAAGCTAAAACAGTATAAGTTGAAATGTCTTCCTTAAGTAGCAATGTTGTTAACAAAGGAATTGCAGTTTTGTTGTCAGAAGAAAGAAATCTGGTAGGATGCATTCTTGATGTGTGCACTCACAAATGTGAAACCCTTGCTTATTCCTCCCATACTCTGTTGCTGTGTGACGTCATGCTGGGGAAAGAAAAGTCAGGCAGTGTTTCAGAGTGTGCCTGGGTGGGTTGTAATGCATGTGAGCTTTGACCTGTAACTATTTGCTAGCATTAAAAAAAAAAAAAACCACTATGGTGGTAACCTTCATCATTTAATGGACTAACACCCACAGAAAAGCATTCAACAGTGTGAAATGTTAAAAAGCCAAACAGTGGCCCTCTTGTTTTGATGAAAATACAGCCAGACCTCCACTGGAGTATCACATGAAGCGCTATTGATTGACTCGTAGGTCACAGTGTTGCTAGGAGTGCCACCAAACCCTCTCACTCTGCTCTTCTGCAGTTTAAAAGATATGATAGTTTAAAAAGCTTTCTGATTTGGAGCAGTGCGAGTTTTGATAACAGTTCTCTATTGTAAATGAAATTTAATGAAGTTATACTTTAAAGATGTGTATGATTTGCCTGTCAACGACTGGCAACAATGACTTGCAAGAGGTTGTAATGGGTCTTTATGGGACAGAGATATGGGTTGATAGAGAAACTTCCCTTTTCCATTTTCCATTCAAATCCATGTTAGCTCAGCATCGATTAAAAACATTGGTTGGTTGTTCATACGTCCCTTGTGCTGACACTGGGTTCCTCATCTTACTATCTTGAGCATAAAACCTCACCAACTGCTGCCATGAAGTGGCACAAGAATAAAATAGAATAGAGCATAATTCTTTTAATTCTAGAATTCAGATCAGGAGTATGAGGACTGTTAAAGCCTCATGCCCATTTTTCATCAGTAGGTGAAGAACACCCATCTCCAGAATTGCCACTGTGACGCATTTCACTTTCAGTCAGGTCATTATTTAGCAGCAACATAATATTACGGTGATGGTAATTCTTTGATAGGAAGAAAGGTCACAGGTTTACTGTAGTAAAGCTATCTATGAATGTGGTACTGTGCTATTAATACAATATTGAATATTAGCGTTGAATCAACGTAGCATGCGTACCATAAATAAGTGGGTTCTCTTTCAAATGATCAATTTTTCATTCAGCTGCTAAAAATACTGGTGGAGCATTCATTGCCAGCTTGTCTTTTGTAAGGAAAAGCCTTGGCAGCGGGCTGTGCCCTCTGCAGAGGAAATGGAAGGTGCACCTTGCCCTAAATTATTTGTAATGAAAAAGGTAAACATTGGCAATTGTTGTGACACACGCATGGGACTGAGTCACTGCGGGAATCGATGCTGTGCTCGCCACGTAGGAATGACCTTGATGGGTCTGGAAAGAGGGGGGGAAGCAGCGGCAGTGAAAAGAAGCAGTAGAGAGTGGCCTTGTTGTCATCCAGGCAGTAAGGTGAGAGGCACGGGGCTCAAGTGATGCACCAAGGTCAAGCCAGAAGTTGTTGGAAGAGCTCAGAATAGAACAGGAGACGCTTCCCTTTCAGTCTCCCCCTCCACAAGACTGTCTGTCATACTAGACCATTTACTTGCTAATTTGGGAAGCTTTTATCAGTTTTCTTTGGAAAGCGAGGTTTATTTTTGTCTGTCCAGCAAGGGAAGGGCACAGAATGACTGTATTGTAGCATGCTTGCAGACCCACCCCATCTTGAGAAGGAAAGCAGAGAGAGCAGTGCAGGGCTCTGTTACCACAGTGGTCTGCTGGACAGCTGGGCTGCCCCTGTGCCAGCATTTCCTGCAGTGACTGCAGTCCTGAAGCTGTGCGCGTTGTGTGTGCATCGGCATAGACATCCTCAGGATTTGCGGCCGTCAGTAAGCCAGGTCCTGTTACACGCTGGCTTTTCTTTTGTCAGTTAATCAGCAAACAACCCAACTGGAAACCTGTTTCCTAATGATATTATAGTGTCTGAATTTCGGCTTGATGCAAAGTAGTAATGAACTGAGCAACTTTGCCACTAATGGTTTAGGGATTGAATTGCTTGCCAGTGAGAACAAGGGATAAATAACCTGTTGCTAATGCTGCTGCCACCCCTCTGACGTAATTGCTTAATCCTTTTGACGCACCAGGAAAAGGGGAGACTTACAAGAATAATTACAAGATGATCATTGAGATGATGAGAGGGCTACGCAAACATGGCAAGGCTGTTGGGAAGGCTGGGTTTGAATAAATATTATTCTCATGGTACCAGTGGGGCGTCAGAACATGAAGGGATTTGTTACTGGCAAAACCGGGATTAGAAATTTGGGCTTTTTTTTGGCATCGAGTCTTAACGTTCATTACCAGTACTCGTGCACTTGAAAGCTACTTTCAAATGACACTATGAACAGTATGTTCTTTAGTCTAAGATCAGTTATTCGTGCCAGGAAATGATTTGTCCTTTTCATAAGAAAAAGAAAATGGTATTGCTTAACTGGGCTGATGAGTGCTTCTGTGAGTGACCCTGGCGGCTGGGCTCTGGCTCCTACTTCCCTACATTCTCTCACCATCGTTGTCCTCTCCTCTCCTGGGAACTATATCTGACTTTTTAGTCCTTGCCCAACTGAAGACCATCTAAAAATGAGTTGGGGCCAAAAGCTTCTCATACTTGCTAGCAACCCATATTATTTTTCTTTGTCATGCCCTGCTCCTTTCCCACGTATTGCACTCCTGTAGAACTTGGTTTTGCCTCCTTTTCTCCTTTTCCTTTACTGTAGCCGTCAGTGCTCTCTTCTTTCTTTGGTTTTGGTTTAGCCTCAGCCCCACTCAGATAGTAGTAGCTCCTGCGTTTGTTTATGTCAAACTTAATGGGTAAATGCTTTGTTTGTCACAATCCTGTGAAAAATAGTCTTTGCTAGCATAGATCATATGTCAGGGGCTACCTGATGATTTGTCTTCACTGCTGAAAGTATATAATTAGGATTCCTCTTTTGATTTGTATGAAAAAAAGCTGCTCATGTTCATAGACTTGGACCTCCCTTACTGCGTAATCCTTTTGTGAGGCAGATCGGTCCTGCCTTCATTTTCAAGAGGTAACAGCTAATGTCAAAAAGCAGTGCATTTGAGGCACTTCTGATGTATATATCCTGAAATGCAGTTTTCAGAACTTTAGTATAGTTGAAATGTGTTTTTTCGTAACATTAAACCGGTAATCCTAAGTGCAAAACACAGATATATTTACCATCTGGAAAAATAAAACTACTTTGGTTTGCATTTATACGATTCGTGAGAAATTTAAGATTACTTAGTTATTTTCCAAGAGAAAGCCTCATATTTTTCGATTTGCATTTTTTTTGGAAGTTACGTTTTTGGTGTTGTACATTTTCACATGTCAATAATGTCAAACATATCTGCAATATCATTTAGTTTTATCCGTTGGTTATATAACTTGCTGACCTTAAAACTTTGGCTAATCCCTTTCAGATCAAGGAATCTATTGTTGGTGAAATACGACGAGAAATAGTAAGTGGATTGTTAGCAGCTGTGTCACCCCAAAGCAGATCTGCAACTGCAAAACAAGATATGCAGCCATGAAATGGGTACTACAGGTAATCTTTGGCAACTGTCCCAGCCAGATTATATGGTTTTTTGGTCATATGATTAATGAAAACCTTGCTTTCTTTGCGTTTTCCCCTTGAAGCGTAAGTGATCAAAATGGAAGTTCATTAAATACAGAGGATACTGATCGTCCTGGATAGCTTTGGAAAATCAGTTGGTTTATAGGTTGGCCTATTCTATTGTCGGCTTTCATGCAGTGGTCTTGATTTTTGGTTTTGGCATGCTCCGTGATGACTTTGCATGGGAATGCATCATGCAAGAGGATTTCTGTAGTTTGCCTGCCTTAGATCTGAATATTATCAAAGTGCATAGTTAAGCATAACATGGAGACTTCTGGAAATCTAATTAAATACTCATCTTGCTTTTTGTTTTCTGTAAGGTTGGATGTGGTCCGAAATGCGGTGGGATTCTGCTTTGGGCGCCGTACGCTGGCGGAAGTGTCGAGTTAGTTTGCTTCAGGAGATGTTAAAGCTGCTGAGATAGGCTACTGTATTTGACGCTTCGTTCTATGATGTGTACCTTTCCTTGAGTTCATCTATAACGACTTAGACACTTTAACTAGTTCATTAATTTCCTTAAAGCATCAACAAAGCTGTGGCTCTCTGAAATGTTTTCTATTTATTTGTATGTCCCTGTTGTAAATTTTTATGTAGCTAATTTCTTTGTTTAATGATGCATCATGAAACTTGAAGATTTCCAAACGTAACCCAGTTAACATGCGTTCAGCCTAGGGTTTTTTTTTTTAAAAAAAAAAAAGACAAAAATCCCCCCCAAAAACACTGACCTCTATGAGGTATTTCTTGTGCAATAACTGATCCACTTTAAGAGCTTGAAACAGCCAATAATGGTTCCCACTGCTGTTACTTAGTGCCACTTCAAAAGAAGGAAAAAATCCTGGTGTAAAAATTGCTGTTAATTCTTGGGGCGGTTACTATTAGCAGAGTGGTAGAATGACATGAGGTTGCTTAAAACTACTTAAAGTTCTGACACTGAAAGCCTTATCTTGATGTAGAGGACAACTTTTAACTATTTTTATTTGCTTCCTTACTGTTTGCCCACCCCTCTATAGACAAATGCCATATTTTAAGCACTGTTTTTTGTCTCTGTATTGACTGCTTTCAGTCATACCCAGAGAATTTCTCTTCTGCTTCATGTTAACCAAAACGCAATAAAAGTTCTGATCTTCTGAAAGCAGTTAGGATGTGCAACTTGGAGTGGATGAATGACCTTGCTTGTGTTATGGGGAAAATGGAAATAAAATCTTTTTTCCTTCCCCAACCCTCACTGAGTGGATTTTCAGTTAGCCTGGTGAACATGCGTTTGTTCCAGTGGAGCGACTTGGAAGTCATTGGAGGTTTTATGTGATCAAACAGACATTCAGTGGATATGCAATATCCCATTTTGCTGTGCTTGGAATCTCTTTACTCCTTTGCCATTTGCATCTACTAAAAAATTCTTTACACTAGGTCAAGGTCTTTAATCAAAATTAGTTTCAATTATAACTATTGTATGAAAAGTTTATAAGATTTTTAATTGTGTTAGGAAGACACACAAGGGCTGATTTCTTAAACAAAAGTGTATATTAAACCAATAAAATATTTATTTTGCCTATAATCTGTGTCAGTGATTTTCATTGTGCATGGTTTACTGTTAAGTAAAATAAGTAACATAGATTTGATCAAATAGTACACAGAATGCGGAACAGCAGGAAATCTCAGGGCTTGGGTTTCCAAAAGCTTTCAGGTGTTCAAGGGACCCTATAAGCTTAGGAAATATGAGACATAAATGTGAGAGAAACGTTGGCACTTAAACCCAAGCTGTTAAAGTTGTTGGCTTCTGTTGCGACTCCAAGAATTTTGTTGGTCTTGACTTCTCGGAGTTTGTCCCTGTAAGTAGAGCCAGAGCTTCCTTGAAAACCTCATCCTGCATGTTTAAAAGTTGAAATGTAAATTGACAGCACTTACCATGGTGATCCATAGGAGGTGGTAAGCTGCAGTAGGTTTCTGCTTTTCTTTGCAGCTTCCGTGAATACTCCCGACCGGAGTACATGCAACCTTCCTTCACAAATGCACAAACCCAAAACCTACTCAACTAATTACAGCAGCAGATGCTCCCCTTGTCCCTCAGCCAGATTAATTAGTGCACTCAACCGTTACCACCGGTCCTGTGCCCGTGTACAACTCAAAGTGGAGTTCCAAAAAGGTGGCAACTCCGGCTCTCACGGAGCCGTGGAGGAAGCAGTTCAGGAGCCGGAGGCCGTCGAGCAGTGGCTGCCAGCAGCACTCTCTGCGGGTGTGGCAGCCTGGCTCCTCTCTGCTTTAGCGAGAAAAGTCACTCGTCGGCAACATCCCGGGGTGCCTGGGGCGCGTCAGCTCATACCTTGTAAGAACCTTTGTTCTCAGCAGTGCGGAGTCTAATGTTTAACTGATGTTTTAATATATCCTGAGAAATGAAAAATGGCTCCATTTTTTCATCCAGTTGATGGAAGGCAAATTTGTGAAGTTCTGGCATAATTTAAAATAAAGGCATTTCAAAATGACGTTTCTAAAAACTGTGCTGAAACTAATGAATATACAAGCACCTATTTTTCCATAATCCGGACAAGAGATTTGCCATTCGTAAAGACACTTTCAGCTAAAATTTTCTGAGTGACATTTGTCTAGATAGAGGAATGTCTATAAATTGCTGTTTAAAAAAAAAAAAAAAAACCAACCAAAAACTAAAATGGTAGTGTGTTGTTGTCACTGCTGTTAAACTGAACTGGTATCCACCTCTGCTGACAATTCTGCTTGTGCCCTAGGAACAGCCATCAGCACTGGAGACACGCGGAACCTGGGTGGCTTGCCCTTTAGCAATGCCAGTTCAGCGGTAATGATCTGAGCATGGATGGTTTTTCTTTTGTTTAGTGACTGAAACTGCTACTTTCCTTACAAATCAGTGTTGTCTTTTTTTCTGCCAGACAGCAATTTGATATGAATTCCATGCAGATTAAAACAACTTCATTAGGGACTGATAAATATTGGTCAATCAAATTTGCTGTGAATAAAGCTGGCAGTAATGCCAGAGATATTTTGGATGCTTTTCTCAACTTCACTGTGACAGTGGTCTTTGTGGCTGCCAGTTGGCTGCAGGAACATAAATCCAAGGGCTGTATTTTGGAAACTCTTAAGAGCTAGCTGTTTTTCTGTGGGTATAGGACAGCTACATCCCTGTTGGTAGCAAAATAGACTTATTTAGCCTGCTGCAGAGCAATACGTGCCTGTGGCACAGCTCACATCACGAAGAGGTTTGGGGACCTACTAGTTTTGGTTTTTGTTTTTTTAAGGTGAGTAAAAACATGTTTCTAGCACCCATTGTTGCGGTGAAAAGCTACAAAAATGACCTGTGCTGAAATGTGGAGACATCTCAACATCTGGCAGCTGGAAGCAGTAACTGGAGAGGCAGGAGCCACCCTCCACCACCGCTTGGGTTAGTGCTGCGATGCCCATGAGGTGCTGCTGCCACTCACCCACGGCACCCTGTGTGTGAGACCTGGAAAGGAAAGGACTGAGGATGGTGACGGACCCAGCTGCGTGGCCAGGGGTGAGTATGCAAGAGGAGAGTCTGCTGCTCCTGGTAGTTTCTGCAAGCACTCCTTGGGGAGAGGACTCAAAGTGGCCCTGCCCGTACTGAAAGAACTGATGGGCTCTTGAAGCTCTTTCAGGAACTTTTGCTGACCATGACCTTCCAAGAGGGAAGGCTGCCCTGTATCTTCTGCTTTCTGCAAAACTGTGTAGTGTGCAAGCCCTTGGCAGCCTGCTTTTAGAAGGCAACTGATGCCCAAGGTGCTCCAAGCCATGCATTTCCTGAGGACTGGCTGGCTGTGATTTTTGTTTCTTTTAAGGTAGGAATTTAAAGCCTTGCTGATACAGTCCAACCCCTGATGCTCACCAGTATTGCTTTACTGAGGGGAAGTGTTCATACTGCCTTTGGATTTTGTGTACTGCTGAGCAAATGGCTTATGCTTGAAATATAGCATAGGTTAGAAAGTTTTAATTTGGTTATACTGCAGATTAATCTGTTCCAATGAAACTGGCCACAGGAAGATACTGATTAGGGAGAGGGAAGAAGAGCTCAATGTGGAAACTGGAGTAATTCAAGCTATGGCTAGCAGTGTAAAACAAAATCATGCTTCAACTACTGGAAAATTTCTTGTGGAGGTTTTTTTCAATAGGGAACAAACCCAAAACGCTGAAACTTGGATGATATAATATAATAGAGTAACTGCTGGTTGGATGGCTTGAGTCCAGCACAACACTTTCTTCTGAATTAACATGATAATGTCAAAACCATACATGAGTTGATTCTCAGGAAAAACAAGGTACTCATTAACTTGGCATAATGCAAATCTACTTTGATACTTCATATGTGATTTTAGATGTGATAGTAATCCTTCATAGTCATGCCACAGAATAAAAATGCACGATATTGTTATAATAAAAGTTGTATACAATAAAAGGCAACTTGTTTAAAAAACAGCAACAAGCCCCAAATCAGTTGATAATTCCAAATGGCTTGTATATGATGCTATTCTACATAGATGCTTGCTGAGTGATGGTGAGTGTGATCGTAAGTGTTACACACAGAAACATCTTTCTCTTTTTTTGGCAGGGTAAAAGGGGAAAGTCAGGACAACAAATAAGTAATTAAATTGCAATGAGAAGGCAGCACAATGAAAGACAGGAGTTGCCTCAGTGAGTGAGTAGCTTCTCTGCTTACCATGAAATCTTTGGTACAGATACCAGCTTTCACAGGTATTTCTAAATTTGTGAGTCTTTATAATAATAATGTAGAGTTACTAATTTTTTTTATTTTCTAAAGCCGTCCTGTTCTGCATTGGTTATTTGCTACAACATATTAGAGATTTTCAGAGTAATTTTTTTAAGAAAACATATACAAAAATATTTGTTTAGTTTTGTGTGCCAGCTTCACAGGTCCGGCCAGCTCCATTGCTCCCATGTGGATGCTACAGACATCACCTTGAGGGTTGCTGTTATTTCTCTAGGTCTAGCCTATCCTCTGAGATGGAGAGGAAGCAAAAAAGAAGGGACATCTAAAAAGTCTCAAATACAAAAATCAGAATTTTAAAACCATGTTCTGAATCTGGCATACTGAACTTCTATAGCCCAGTTGATGAGTTTCCATTTTTAGCCTGGTAGCCTGTGTTTGTATGCTGAGTTTTCTACCTCAGACTCTGAAACTAGAATTTCATTCCTTGTTCAGCCTCTTTGTGGTTTATATTTTTACTTTTGTTTTAAAAAAAGTTTACCATAGAACTCAGTTTTATATTTCAAATGTTTAATTCAATGGTATAGTCATTTTTTGCATTTAAGACTAAATATGGAAATAAGATAATATCATTTCATTCTGAAGTCTATGTAAACTGCCAACAGTAGTTCTGTTTATTGAAAAATATGTTAGATTTACCCTCTTCTTGGTAAGGAAGTAAATTCTAACATGATAACCTCCTGAAATACCTCCCTAAAACCCATATCAGAATTTTGGTTTCTGCACTATTAACTATAGTCTATACTACATATGGATCTTTTGACTGTCTAACTGGGTTATGTTCCATTAATCCAGCTAATTTCCTGTGTTTTGAATGTGTACATTCTAGGGACAGCAGTGCCTAGCACCTACTAGTAAACGTATATTACTTGATAGTTTGGAGAGCTGCGAGTCCCAGAGGAAGACTTGAACAGATAGTTCTTATGCCCTCAGATAAAGGTAACTTGAAACTGATGATGATTAAAATTATATTGCTAAGGAATGATTATCTCAACTAAAGGGATCGTATAAATAGAAATAGCTGTATCTTTTACTTATCTAGGCTTTATAAATCCATGTATGTAGTTAGTGCATAAGCTTGTCCAAGCCTGGTGTTCGAGGGACAAGTACTGGCGATGGCAATTTGGCTTGGGCTGTTAATAGGCCAGCAGCTCTCACTGAATGTCTCACTGACTGTTGCTGCTCAACAAGACCTTCTGTTTTAATTCTTGACCTGTCTGTGGCAGCACTTACCGTTCACAAGACAGACGTGATCTGCTCTACATTCTCCCACCCTTGCAGATTTAAAATTCTTCACATTTTCTGCATATAAATAGCAGACTGTGTTTCCAGCAGTTGAGTGGGAGCCACCCTGATTGCAACGTCTGTATTTAGCTATTTTGAAAGGAAACTTTCAGGGTCCTCTTGAATATGTCATTGTTTATTCTTGGAAGGCTTGCATGTGTTGTGATACACCCTTACCAGTGTAGAGCCCCAGGAGGAAAACCTGTCATGAACAGGTATGGTGTGCACGGCAAAGACCATGTCCAATGTTCATGCTTCCTGCCTCCCTTCTGCCCACGACCAACACCAAGAGCTGAAAGACTGGTGCCTCTGTATGGACAAAGGCAGTGAATAAACTGCTTGTCAGTTTGTCAGAAAAGGGCAGAAGGAAGAAGAGGCAAGCTGAAGTTCCCCTTGGCTGTAGCAGAAAGCTGGTTAGCAGCAGCCGGGAAGCAATGTGCTCTGCGGTGTTTCTTCCCCCGATGATGCTGGGGCTGCCCAGCAGTGTACTGAGGAGATGCTGGCATGAGGAGAGGTTTCAGCCAGAGAGCTCGAGAAAAGCATGGATCAACGCATATTTGCAAAGGTTCTCGCATATTAGTGGCTACAATGGGGACTGAAGTTATGCCCTTAGAGACATGCCGGAAGGAGTGCCACTTCCAAGCCAAGTCTTTGCTCTGTGAAGGCAGCCAGGTGGATCAGGGAACTGTGAGTGCTTCCCTGCATCTGCAGTAGTGAAACCTAGAGCCAAAGCCTTAAGTAGGTTGGCTTCACAAGCATCTCCAGCTCGCTTTCCTCTCCTCACCAGGCTGATGCTGTGGTCTCTGACCACAGCAGAGGAGCTGAGGCAGGTCACAGCCACAACAGAAGCTGTGTAAGGAGCATGCAGGACAGACCCTTGAATTCCCATCCCAGCAGCCTCTGCCTTTGACTGGGGAAAAAAACCCCAAACCTCCCCTAACACAACAGGAAAAATATCTCCAGCAGGAACTGTGCCGTGAGTACTCTAATAGCTCGTCACCACTGTGGGATATGTTAAAAGGCAGTGCTTCATACCAAGACATAGTGAATGACATAGGAAGGAAAGATCTTAGTTGTTATTATTTTTTATTCCATGATAGTTTTAGCTGAATCATGAAGGAATTTGAAACATTGTGGGGAGTGCACTAAAAACAGAAGATGAGCTAAAAGGATTTGGCAGTACTTAAATGCATTTCAGCTCTTCCCCAGACTATGATGCAGTCTATAGAAAATGCAAGCACACTTTGCCCGGAGACATCTAATGCTGCAAATTAGGTGTAAGAGGGAGCTGATGTAGTAATCCTGAAATGCTATATATGCTCTCTGAAATATGCCTCTTCTACTATTTTAAAAATACTTCTGTTGTTGCAGGGCATGTGAAGATTGCTGGGCAGCCAGCTCCAAATAAGCACGGAGAGCTGCAGAGGCAAGTGTCTCCACATCGCATCGTTGGTGGACATTCAATGCGTTAATATTTTTTTCACTGTCTGAATGTGTTTTTTCAACTGACTTTATCATTAACATAAGAAATTTTAAGCATTTGTAATGAGAATTATAGCTTCTGTAATACAGTAACGTACACTGTAATAGCATAATTTAATACATGAAGTTTCATAGACAGCTATAGTTGATATTTTGTGGCAAACTGTTTTTCATAGAGAAACAGTATTTAAAATACCCTATTTATTAATTTATATAATAGCAAAGCAGCTGAAAAACTTTTTTCCCCTACATTATCTGAGACTGAGAAAACAAAAATTACTTTCTTTCAAGTATGAGAATTTGTCAGAGAAAAGCCACAACTTCAGATTCCTGTGTACATCCTCCTGCCGGGTGTATTCCTGTGTATATCCTCTATGTCTGAAGCTGTCATTGAAGTTAATGGCGTGTCTGTGCATAAAGGACTTGTGAAAATGGATAATTATACTGTCCTGAAAACAACTCTCTAATTGTCCTTAGTGAAAGCAGTGTGTCCCTCTCTTATTTCAGTGTCTTAAGACTCCTAGTTGTGCCAGCAAAACTACTGCAATTACACTCTGGCTCTAATTGTCTTTGGAAGCAAATTATGTTTCATAAGAATAGTGAAAACTTAAAAATGATGTTATGAAACACTGAACATCGCTATTCTGTATTGCTCTTCTGTGCTTCTCTCTCACTTGTTGTGGTAAATGAAACCAAGCATTTCACCTTAGCACTGAAAATATCCAGGACTCAGCCTGAGAGGGCCCTGGGTAACCTGATCTCTGTCCTGCTTCGCGCACAGGTGGGACAAGGTATTTCCAGAAGTTCTCTCCAAGCAGGACTGTTCTGTGGTTCTACTTTTCTAGGTTACTGCCACCTAAACTATCATAATTAATCTAATGGGAAAATTGCTAGCTACTAGCCATCGGCTGGAAGCCGCTGTGGTACAGGGTGGTTTTGATTTGGACGAGGAGGGAAATTTCAGCCCTCACTGAGACTTATTGGAGTGAGCTGGGTCTTTAACTTCTAGTGTATTCTCACCTCCTGAGCTTTCTCTGGTTATGCATAAACCAACTAGCTAGCATGCTTGCCTCTGTTCAGAAATACCCTGCTATTCTGATAATGTGTTAACAGTTCTCATTTGTATAAATCAAAGCCAAGTATTCCTCCCCAGACTTGATGGTTTATTCTGCTGTACAGCCTATGCATTGCTCTGAGCCTGATCCCTGCTCCTTCCACGCCTCCTCCATTGGCACAGGTGGGAAAATACTCAGTGACTCTGAATAAACCAGTGATGAACTGTGAAAATCCTGAGTGCTTTCAGCGGCCTGAACAAGAGACACATCTTCACATTGCTCTGAGTTTTGGTGATGTCCAGCCTCAGCTCTGAATTCAACTGCTTCTCTGTTGCCTTACTGCACTCTGTCAGAGGCAGACTCAGGTTGTTACTCCTCCCCACGAACTATGCCTGTTTGCTCTTTGTTCTGGCTGGTTGTGTTTCCCTGTTGAGAGAGTTCACAGGCCCTCCAAACACCTGACCAAGATGCACTTTCTCTCTGCAGGTAGCCTCATCCCAGGTAAAGCGGATACTGTGATGGGCTGGACCAGTCTGGGTTTTCCTGCTGGAACTCATTTTCTCTTTCTTCCCGACTGGCCGTAGGGAGTAACAGGAGATTGGCCCAGTGCTCTTCAGCTTAGAGCTAAGCTTTCAACAGAGCCCTCTGAACTGGCAACAGGGCATTTTCCGTCTGGGGTTGCTGCTTTGGCATCAAGCACACCTTTGTCGCAGGAGCTTTGCCGTGCTGCTTGGCATTGGTCAGGCGCTCTGAGCATTCTCTACCTGGTCTTGGAAGTAGGTGCAAAATTTGTATCCCAAAGTAGGATTTGGCCATCTGAATTTTAGCTGTCTAAAAGTGAGGTAGCTAGTACGAGTCATCTTTGCTTTTTCGAGGGTTAATGGAGAGAAAATGTTATCTCCAATAAATACTATATTCCACTTAACTGGGACAGGGTGAAATGCCCTTAGATGTGTCTATCATGGGGGAGCCCAGATATCTTGCTTAAATGTGGATCTTCTGAGTATCTGAGAGCCCACCAGAAGATACTGCAGTTTAAATCTGCAAACCCAGTCTAAGGTGCAAACCTACTTAGCACACCAGATACGCTTAATGAAAATGTAGGCATCTGTGTAGCATCATCAAAATCTTCCTGGAAGAGGTTTAGAAAAGAATTTGAAAGAGCAAAGGCAATTGTTTGATATGTGAGAAGAGGAGAGTGGTTCTGGCACGCTGTAACAGAGATGGAATTATTGCATCCACCCCTCCTGCTACCTCCACCCCCAAAATCTGAAAACTTCCTGATTTGTGTTCATCAATAATTAAGAGCCCATCAGCAATACTCAGAGGGAGCTTGCATTGCACTTCTGAGCAGCCAGTTAGTAATGTATGGTGGAGAGATCCTCTTTTTCAAATCCCAGGGCTCCAGGCCATGCAAAGCTAGTATTGCATTTTCAATTAGCTTCTGAGTGAATGCTTGGCATATGTAGAAGTGAACTGGTACACAATTAGCTTATTGTTCCTTTCAGCTTTGTGCTGAGAGGATCTGAAGGACTGCAGAAGAGAGGGGAGAGTGGGGGTGGGGTGGGGGAAAGAAAATAGCCAAGCCAGCGGCATCTCCGTGGATGTGGAATAAGGGGGTTGCTGGGCTCACACAGATTCCTGTGCTAAGTCGGGAGCTAGAGCTGTTACGGAGGAGCACTCAGGCTGGCTGTCGGGAGGGCGCCCAGGGAGCGGCGCAGACTGAGTCTCAAGCTCCAGGCTCTTCTCTCTTCTACTCACCTCAGCATCACGATGGAGCCCAACAGCCCCAAAAAAATACAGTTTGCTGTGCCAGTGTTCCAGAGTCAAATAGATCCTGAGGCAGCTGAGCAGGTAAGGAAGACGAGTTTCTTTTGGCATTTTGAGGGAATGTGGTGGGAATGGGGTCAATAGGTGGAGGGAAACCAGTTAATACTTGCGGCCTAAATGCTTTTCCAGCTTGCATTAGTGTAACTATAGATTAAGCGCTCTGGAGGTTATAGCGATGTCTGATACACCCAAAAAGGGAGGAGGATATGTCCTCCAGGTAGAATAAGGCTTCTTTACCTTGGGTGGGTTTGTTCAGTATATATTTGTTTTGCCTTTCTACAGCTGGACTTGGGCCATAATACATACACTTCACAGTCATACACATTGTCAGCATACCAACTAAAGTCTATTAGTTGTACCTAAAGCAAAACATGAAGCTGATAACAGACACCTAATTGAAATATTGCACAGAAGACAGCTTATTTGCCATTCATTTTAACATGAGAAAATAAAAGTTGTTTTGCACAACAGTTATCACTTTGCTTATGTCCTGTATTTCTCACCATGTTTATACTGTCTTCTTTATGTCATTGTTACAGTGTTTTACATATTTGAAAAATATATGTGTGTAGAAATATGCCTGACTTATGTCCGCATTGGAATTATGCGTGTGCTATTTTAGGTTTTGACTCACTCCCAAAACATACACATACATACAGTATCTATAGCGATACAGCTGTCTGAGGAGGAGAAGATATCTATTATTGTGTACAGATATGCGTAGATGCACATAAAAGAGAACACAGGGAATCTTAGGAGAAAAGCTGGATAAATTGTAATGAGGTGACCCAGTATATTTCTCTCAGTGCAAGAGAAAAGAGTCCTTCTCAACATTTGCTTCTATTTTGGTAAGTCTAGTTTTAGATGATACCAGGGGAATGTAATAACCTTGACAGTTCCATGCCATTAGCTACGAAATTATTTGCACTTTCAGGACAGGTATCTGGTTTCCTGACTATCCTGATGTGATGTCTCTTAAAAAGCAGCCACCTTTGCCAGAAAATTATGAGTTGTGAGTGACCATTGAATGAAGAAATACAGTGCAGGGGAGAAATGCTGCGGGTCGTCTTTTTTTCCACAAGTACTTCTGAGCTGCAAGATGTCCACACCTTATGGAACAGTCCTGCAACGAATTCAAGCAGGATGTGTTCTGTTATTTTTCTGAAATCTGTGAGAACTATAGGATTAAGATTTCCTGGAATTCCCATGGCTTTTGAAATGCTGTGGCCCAAATTCTTCCCAGTATTTATGGACAGTCATTTTTTATGTTGTGAGTTTAATTCCAAGTGCTATACAGTTTCATTGTGGCCATGTGATGAAATTAAAGTAGTAAATTCTGCTGTCAGCTACAGTTAGGCTAATCTGGAATAAACCCATTATCCCTGATGATGTAATTTTCCATTTACACCTCTGAAAGCAAAATTTGAACCCAGCTAAATACAGATGTTGGCTCAGCAACTGAAAAAGAACAAACGTACTGACACTGAGGTTTTGTGTTGAAATGGTTTCTAGCTTCAATACTCTTCGTCCCTCTCTTAAATTCAGTAGAGTATCAGTAGCCTGGAGGCTTTTGCGAAGCAGCACAAAACTTTAAATGCAACTGTGTGCTTTATAGGAGGGTAGCCCAATACCATGCAGTTCAACCAGTGTAAATGGAACATAAGTACTTAACCAAATAAACTCTGAATAAGAAGAGTTGCATGCAATTCAGTGTTATATTTAAAGATCTGTCGTATAGTGCTCTTTGAAAATATTATTTTGAAAGTCTTAAGTACTGTTTTTCTTTAGTTAAAGAACAGAAGTATCACCTCTGGCCACAGCTTAGAGGTGTCATAAATTCATTGGAAGGCATACATGTAGTATCAACTCTGAAGTGCACTTAAAAATATTAACAATTACTTGTGAGTGCTGTGACAGTGCTTGGTATTTGCACACATAAGCTCACAATCTGCTGCAGTCATCTTCTTGAAGCAAAGCTAAGTGTAATATTTTAAGATATGACTGATACACGTGAACAATACAAGTCCAAAAACTTATTCAAACCCTACAAGTATTTTGAAAACTCTGCCCTGTGCCTTTGCTTTCAGTGTACAAGCAGCAGCATGACTGATCACTGTCAGACCAGACGAGCAGTCAGTAAGGCAGTGACGTGCTGCTGTTATTTAAATATCTTCTTTTTTAACTTTGCCTGGTCTGTACTCAGGAACGCACCAGATGGATTTTTTCCTTTGCTTTCTGTGAGGGGCAGTTGGTGGACCCCAGTGACTCTCCTTGGTTTATGCATGTTACAGATCAGGAAAAGAAGGCCTACACCAGCATCGCTCGTCATCATGAATGAACATGTGCCCCCAGGTAAGTGCCAACACACCTTCTTAAACCACTGAACCTGTATACACAGGACTGTCTGCAAATGGGCTTGATTGACTACACAGTTCTAGAAATCCAGCATGAGTTTCATAGCACCATATATATATCAAATAATGGATCTTAGAACAGTTTGGACTAAACCTATGAATACGTGTAACTCTTGGCCTCCAAATAATGTAAGTAATGTCAGGATTTTATCCTCCATGTAAATCTTTTGTTGTATGTACGAGGAGACTGTGACCCTGATCCAGCACTTCTATCCACAAACCTTTTCTGCCCCTGGGTGGATACTTTGGAGATCATGAAGTCCAGGGCTAATTCAACAAAATTAATTGCTTCTGCAAAACAGGTTGTTTTTTAGTTTCCTGATGAAACATGTGATGTCTGCTTTCATTATTCCTTTGCAACTGTGAATACATTTTCTTCATCCCAGAGGATTTTCTGTAGTTTTCAGCAGCTGAAGTTCCTCAGAAAGTGCAGAAAGAAGTATTTACAGAGCGCTGCTCTCAGGGTTGAGATCATTGCAGCACAGCACACAGATTAGGGAGGTTCAAGCATGACACGTGGTTTATATTCCTTTGTCATTGACAGTGAGCCATGGGTTTGTTGTGGGGCTAACACAATGCCGGTTTAGAAAGTAGTTTTCAGGCAGTTTAGCTCTCAGAAATGGTGCATGAAAGATCTGCCTCAGATGGACTTCCCTTACCTTAGTGGGATCTACAGTGTCTGTGTTGCTAGGACTTAATTTAAAGCAAATTCACCTTGACTGTTAATCTCCTTTGCAATTCACTTTGTACACTTTGTACAGTCATATTTCCTTTTATAAACAAATACTTGGTACAGTACCAAATCAAAATTAAACAGAGAATAAGAACTCTTTTTAATTTACAGGAAATTTTACTATAAACAAGTGGTACATGTCTGTTATCTCCTTTCCTGCAATGTTCATAATAAATCTTTAAATAAATCATTTTTATTATAAGTCAGGATTGCTGCAGCTATCAGTCAACTTCCATATAAACCGAAGAGCTTGTATATTCATCATCTTTACTTCTTTATATTTATTCATTTAGATATTACCCCCTCTTACTAGGTACTGGGAGCTAATAGATGAAGGTATTCTTGGTTAAATTATAATTTTGCCTTGTTTTTTAAATTTCCATAATGACAAATAAAAATAAAAACTTTAAAAGCACCTTCACTTTCCTGCACCTCACCATGTGGTTTACGCACGAGCATGTGTCCCCCTGTTTCCATATGGTATGCTTGATATGGGCAAGTGTTTTGCACAGGGTGTGCACATGTAACCGGCTGAACACACGGACTGCAAAGCCGAATTGGAAAGGCAGAAAATAGATTTACAATGGAAATATAAATAGTAAAAAAAAAAACCCTTATGGGCTTGATCTTGCAGGGTGCTGTGCAGTGTCTGAAATTATTGTATACTTTCAACTTTCAGAGGGGTCAGCTAGTCCTAGGGGCTCTTGGCACCTTGCTGATTAAACCCCAGGTGCTGATCTCTTATTGGATTTTGAATAGAATTCAAAGATTTGTCTCCAAATATGTTAAATTTACCAATGTACATGTTTACAGTAAATAATAATGCTGTGAACTTGAAACTCCAGTAAATCGCTTCAGAAGTGTGATTCCCAAAGTCAGCAGGGAAACTGAGCAGCAGGGAATTGAAGTGATACTGTGGAAGACAGCTATTAAACTAGAGCTGGGCTAGACCAGGATCCCAACTCTTGAATTTTACCCACTGGAGTACTCCAATTCTCTCATTAGGAGCAAACAGCTAGTGAAAGATATGCTTCTAAGGGTTTGAAATGCGCATTCTAATGCAATTCTAAATGTTTGGATGCCCCTGTAAAGTTTAGTCAAATTATGTAAACTTCTTTTATTTTGAAAAACATAGACAGGCATTTTCTAAGAATCAGTGTTTTCTATAGCCTTCTGTTGCAGCTGCTTCTGATCGTAGCAAGGAAAATGCAGCATTTTTGTGGTATTCTGGTGTTCTGGATATAGACTCATCTGGAAACCAGAAGGCAGTAAAATGTGTTTGGACATTTCAGAACTTTATAATAAATTCAGTTTGGGTTGTGTCGTACAAAGATCTAAAATAGCTGTTTTCTTCTGAGTTTCTCATCCCGCCCTGATGTCTACTACAGCTTTGAGAGGAATCCATCTTCACTGATTTAGGTCACGGCCATTGTGCTATGAAGTGAAGATGGATTATCTACTGAGGCTAAGTCATTTGAAACTGATGACAGCTACTCAAAAACTGTAAGAAGAGTCTGCTTGACTTCCTTGCTTCCAAGGAGACAGTAAGAGCTAGACAGCACTAAATGACTCAAAGACAGGTGGTAGATGTGACTGCAGGAGCTATTATCCACCCTTTAGTATCATTGGTGCATTTTCTCCTGTTCACTCTGGTTGGCATCTTATATAATTACAATTAAAATCAACAGAAATTTGCATTGCAGCAGCAACAATGATTGCAGTGGACAATATGGGCTTGTGAAGCAATGTGGCAATGAAGAAACCCTTAACTCATTCTTCAAATGCTCTATAAAGTGCTCTATGATGGGTTATGTCACATCTGAGCTGAGAAGCTAGGGCTAGAAAATTGAGACTTGAGTTATGAAGTTAATTAACTATATCATGCTTCAGTTACCATCAATGGAGTTATATTTTGGGAGCATCTGATATTTGATTCCATAATATCTAATCAGTTTTACTTTTCTTTGAAATTATAAAACCCCTTTACTATCTATGAAAGCAAAACCAAGTATTAGTGGACAGAACTACAAAAATGTGCACCATCTCATCCTGCACAGAATGCCTTTGTGGGTTACTGGGGTAACCCACTCGTATCCCGCTATAGCCACAGTTGCTCCATGTACTTCAGAGAAGGAATATAAGCATATGCTTAGTTTTAAAGACACATATAACTAATAAGCTGCATAAGAGCTTAATAAAAAAATTGCTAAAGCTCTTCTGTTTCCTCTTTCTCTTGCAATATCATTGAAGCCACCATACCCTGAAAGCAAGTTTTTATGCATTGCCATAATTTACTCGCAACCCAGCATAGCAGAATACATGTGAAAAACAATTCTTGCCACCTGAAATAAAGGTCTGACCATGCTTTAAACTAGCAGACTATCATACTGCAACAGGTCAAGAAAAAGCTGGTGGCAATTTGGAGAAGTGATGGTTGAGGGAGGAAAATATGTCAGATCACGACTCAGGTTTAATGCCATTAGGGCTTGCTTTGATCAGAAAACAATGCCAGCATTCCTGTATGGCCTGGCTTTGTCACAGAGCCAATGCAACATCAGTCTGGCTGGCAGAGGCTGTTCAACTTGTGTCAAAGTGTTCTGTCATCTTGAAGCATTAGAATATGGCTAAACGTGAGGAGAAACTGCTGCATTTCTGAACTTTCTATGTATTTGCTGTTTCCAACTCTCCTTTCTGCTCCGTTGCCTGTTTTGGCTTCCTTGCTTGTAATGTAAATGTTACTCAGTGTTTGGAAATAAGAAAAACATAGCAACATGTTTTGATAACTGTTCTCCAGGGCTGCCTTTTTGTATTTTGCAAATCTCATTTCAAGGCAGAAAGAGTATATTATCACTGCAAAAGCGATATAAAACGTATATGCCAAGTACAACTCCGTAAATCTGAATTTTCTGAAGGCTGGAAATCGTAACTTGAAGATAAGCAAGCTGTACCCAGCTCCAGACAAGGAAATTTTTTGCAGCTTGTCTTTGGACATGAGCAGTTGTTCTGTCTTGTTCCCAGCTAATTTTCCATTGTCCAGAGAGGGATTCATGCCTTTCAGCTTACTGCCACTTCCCCAGAGGGCTGGTGAGGTGCCTCAGGAGCAGCCTCAACATTCAGTGCAGCAGCAAACAGCCAGATGAGTGTTGGGAGGGAAAACTGTCCTTACAAAGGTAGCAGTCGCACAACAACCCAAATAGATCACGTTTTTCATGCTAAATTGTTTCTAGACACTCCCAGACTTTCCCTGCCTAAAAAATCTCATTACCACCTATAGGTGTGGTTTTATGATGATGCAAATGATACCAGCACCACGTCCTTGAGGGGATGAAAGTGGTATGTTCTACCCAACATTAATGTTTGTGACTTATATTTGTTAGATTATGCTTTGAGATGAATGAATGTGTCTTGTTTTACATCTAATGGTCACATTGTTTTTTCTCACAAGAAAAAATAAATTGGGATCAAAAAAGACCTACTAGGTAAGAGGCAGCTGTTTCTGGGCATTGTCAAGCAGTCCTGCTATAGTTTCTCAGTCAAAATTCTCACTGAAATGTGAAGCAGCAGAGAACACTTGGTCTCACAGTTCATGAAAACTGATATGTTTTTCAAAAGCTTGAGATTCTGGTAGGACATACTGCTTACTTTGGTCCAGGAAATAGAAAGTGAGTAAGCCAAATAGCAGCTGTTTTCAATTGAAAATCTAGGTTTCTAATGTGGTAATAAAGCATTCAGAGAAGCAGTATACTAACAAAAACTGTCACTAACTGTATTTTTCTTTGGTCAAACTAGTTGGCCTTTCTATATGCCAAACGTGGATACCATTTAAGTGTGCTGTCTGTTTTTATTTCAGTCTAGGAGTTCATAGAGATATGGCAATAAGCAGTGATAAAGATTTGTGTCCCCTCCCACCACAGGACCAGTAGAATCATAGAATCACAGAAGGGTTAGGGTTGGAAGGGACCTTAAAGACCATCAAGTTCCACCTCCCCTGCCATGGGCAGGGACACCTTCCACTAGACCAGGTTGCCCCAAGCCTCATCCAGCCTGGCCTTGAACACTTCCAGGGATGGGGCATCCACAGCTTCTCTGGGCAACCTGTTCCAGTGCCTCACCACCCTCTCTGGGAAGAGCTTCTTCCTGATATCCAATCTAAACCTCCCTGATTTCAATTTAAACCCGTTACCCCTTGTTCTTGCGCTACAGGC